ATCTCCCTGCAAATCAAAGTGCAAGGGTCTTCCCAACCTGCAGCCCCAAACATGGTGCCCAAATTCTACACTGCAGTCTTTGTGCCACACCCTGCTTTCCGAAGAACTAGGGAAAGCAATGGAATTGCAGGTGGATTTAGGAGCTTGTAGCCTCCCTGGACCTCCCACGTTTGGTACCGAAGGGAAGGGATTTCCAGTATTTGGTTTCCTCTCTTTCCCTAAAGTATTGACTGAACCCAGTGAGGCTGAGATAATGGAGTCCTGGGCTCAAAGCAAACGTAGTGTGAATTCAGAGAGACTCAATAAATTACACTTCTCCACATCCCCTCTTCAGTGGTCACTCCCTCTTCCCCTGCTTTGAGAGGGGTCAAGGAGATTGTGAGGGGGAGTCAGAGAAGGTCAGGTGAGTTTTCCATTTCATTCCGCACAAGCCTGCCAGAGCTATTCTCCACGGGGTCTTTCACAGTCAGCTGCAGTGAATAGACTCTGATAGCTGTAAAGGGATCTGGCACTGTCTGAGCGGCCCTTCCTGAAACGCTCGTGCGCTCTTTCGCCCACACATCCTTGATTCCAGAGGGCGTACAGCGAGAGGGGAATTAATAATCATCCTAACAATGTCCCTCAAAGGTTAGAAATGTAACAGTGTGGTTGTAAATGGAAACCCCATTGGTAGCAACACACTTACCACACCCCTTTCTCTGCCCTTTGCTTGGAAGGACTTTCTGCCTCAAACCTTCTGGGTTGTGGGGAGGCAAAGGGGCAGGCAGGATGATGCTGGCTGAAGCGTTACGCTACATCTGCTCCGTGTTCAAACCCCTTCTCCCCCTCAGGGAGGAGGGGACTGGAACCAGGGCTGGTCTCTGACATCCTGGCTGAGTATCCTGTCCACTACACTAACAACTAGAAAGGAGAGCTTTGCCCCCGGCTGTCTTCCTCCTGACCCTGCATGGTTGCACTTAGCCAGCTGAGTGCCCGTCTTCCCCAAGTTTGCGGCTCAATAACAGAGTTCCCTGCAGTCCTGACTTAGGTGTCTATCTCTGTGAGGGGGGCAGGGCTTAGGACACCCCCGGCCCCTGATCAGGGTCTCCCACATGCTGGCTTTATGGATCACCGTCTAAGGCTCCTGTCCTCTCTCCTCTCATCCATCAGAAGGAGAGCCTAGACAGCCAGCTCAGGCTTTGTGGATTGCAGTGTTGTTCCTGTGATTTTTCTTCTAGGTGCATAAAAGTTAGACACCACCACACTCAGTGTTGCAACACCCAAGTCCCTTTGTCCCGTTCCCTCCCCCCCCCCCCCGCCACCCCCGGCAGTTAAGGCTGGAGATGTACTTACAGCTGCAGTCACTGCAGGACCTTAAGCAAGTCTTTGAAATTAGGTGCCTCAGTTGCCCTCTCAGTAAAATGGGGGATCCCTCTGACCTATTCTGTAATGTGCTTTGAGACCTGATAAATGAGGCTGTACAAATGCGAAATACCAAGACACTATTCATTACAAAATCTGAGTAATGCCCCATCGCAGGGTGACACTGGCCCTGGAAGAGAGCAGGGCCAGTGCATTTGTGACTGGTCAACTGATCCCAGTTGAGCTTTAAAAGGGGGCATCAGAGCTTGAAAAGACAGAGAGCTGGTGAGGGGAAGCCTGGGTGTGTCAGGCTGAGCTGGATATGGGGCTCTCACTGCCTGCTCTCCCTGGGAATAGGCAGTCCAGAGGACTGCCAGGATCCTTGGGGTTTAGAGGGGAGGCAGCAAAAGCCTGAGATATAAAAGCTGAGCTGAGGAACTGTTTCGGTTTGTTTAAGTTTGGACAGTAAAACTGCTTAAGAGAGACTTTGCACGTGGCAACGAGTCTTCGGGAGCTGTCTTGTTACTCTCTTTTTCCCCTCCACTTCATCTGCATTTAAGATGATGCTTAGCAGTTCATACCAACCCTTGGTGGCTCACAGAGATTCGCTGGGCCTGATTCTCTGTTGCCCTGCAGTTGGTACAGTCAGTGATACCTAGTGCCAAGTGGGTGAAAGGCTGGACAGACCTGAATGGCTGCCATTTTGATTTGGGAATATCTTTGACCCTGTGGCACTGGAGGAGATGCAGAGCACTGAAGAATCAGGCCCTGGGTCCAAGGGGAATGTGTATTGTAACCAGGAGAGAGGTAGAGAAGTGACAGACTGAGGCAGGCCAAGAACATCAAGGGCAGACAACCTGCTGTCTCTGTCAGCGATTCGTTCCTGTAAGGACATCAGGTTTCTTGATAGAGAAAATGCTAGGTGACCTTGCCATTCAGTCTGCAGAGTATTGATTTGCTAGTTGGGGTATCTCACTCAAACTACTTTGCTTTTTTTTAAAAAAATCAGAAATTGTGATTTTTTTTTTTTCCTAAGAAAATTATCCACAGTGAGAATTCATCCCATGGAACTTTCTCAGCCAGCTGATCATAGATCGACCCAGATATTGAAAGGACGCCGAGTTAAAAATAATCTCCCCTCTGTCTGAGCAATGTTGTTGTTACTTGCAACTCCCTGGCTTTGAAGAGATCAGAGTAAAAAGAGAGTCCTTTCTTCAGCTAGTTTGGTGTATCTGACAGCAGGTTGTGTATGGGCCATTTCCCAGTGTCTGTGGGGAGGCTGAACCAAAAGGTATTGCTTAAAGCCTGTTAGCTAAAAGGCTTTAAAACCCTAGTGTAGCCAGGGCAAATTGTCTTTTCACACGTTAGCTGGCAAAGGGGGTGTGTAGGGGTCACCTCTACCAGCTACCACGAGTCACCCCGACTACTCTAGCTTCCAAGGCTGTCTTACTAGTTCCTTTCGTCAGCTTTAAACTCTGTATTGTTCCCTTGAGTTCCCATCTGTCTGTTCCACCTCTGGTCTTTCTGTTTCGACTGTGAGCTCTTTGGGGCAGGGATCACCTTTCTGTTCTGGTTCACAACCAGGGTTCCTAAGTGCTCCCACAACATAAATAATTAGTAACCCATTGAAATCTGCTTTGCAACCTTTTTATAAGGAGAGGACATTAACAAGGGAATTGCAAGAATCTAAGGAAGCCACAGGGCTACTAGCTAAAATGAGTTAGCTTCCAGGGATTGTGTCCCTTAGGTAGCTCTCTTTTTTGGATTTATCACACCTCCTCTGGCTGCTTGAATAATAAACGGCCAATCTTTTCAGGTCACTTTATATTTAGCTGCACCCAGTCAATCCTTCAGTCTCTGAACACTTAAAGTCTCTCCTCTCCCGCTTTATTGGAGAAGCTGGAACAGCAAGAATGTCAAACATCCAGGGTTCGCCCTTTTTTTGTTGTTGAAATGGATCCCCTGTCCACTGAGAGCTTAATTTCCCTTTGTCTGGCCAGGGAGCTCCTTTTCTTCTGGCTTGCTCCCTTCAAATCACTTCAAGTCCCACCCACCTACCTGGTTACCAGGTGAGGAAGTCTTTACAAGCTGATCTGTTGTTTCTCTGAGTGAAAAGCTCTTGCTGGTTCAGTCAGTAGGGTGTCAAAATAATTAAACCAAAATCTTGGATTAAATCTGTAGTTGTGGGCAGGGTACGGAGGGCAGGCAGGGGCAGATCCATAATAGTCAATGCAGATGGCACCCCATGCTCCCCAGCTGCACTAAAAGCCCACTGGTGGGCCAGGTCTGCAAATCTGAGCACGTTTCAGACGAAAGCCCCACCTTCTGCAAGGAAGGTGTTCCGTGTGAGTCCTGGTGAGGCACTCGGTCATGGGAGGCAGTTCTGCTTTGAGTTTTGGGGGTCTCCGTTGATCCTGACACTCATGGGGATGGAGTGCACATGAGTGTGGCTAACAGTGAGCCCTGACTCCCCTGTGAATGGAAAATGTTGAGTTTACCCTAGTGCTGTTCCTTGGGAGGAAGTATAGCTAGGGTGACCGTATTTCCCAAAGAGAAAACGGGACACCCCAGCCGCTCGCCTGAGGCTCCCCCCACGGGAGGCTGCTGCCGGTGGCTGGAACCCTTTTGGGGGCCCCCACGCAAGGCTGTTGCCCATTGCTGGAACCCTGCCCTCCCCGCCCTCCCATGCTGGAATGCTGCCCCCACCCTTCAACCCTGCCTCCCCCTCTGCGGGGCGCTGGCCTTTCCCCCACTCCACCCACATGTTGCTCTGCACCACACCCCACTTTTGCATTTGTTCTGTTTGCTCTTGACAACTGATCAAGTCGGCAAGAGCAAACTGGGACACATGCCTCTTTCTGGAGGAAAAAAAAAAAAGAAGTCAGGATAGCCGGACAGGGCTTAAAAAAGGGACTGTCCCAGTCAAAACGGGATGTATGGTCACCTGAAGCATAGCCTCAGTCCTGCAAACTCTTCCTTAAGGGCAGAGCCCTGTGGTGCTCCATGGAGATTCAGGGGTCCCCTGGCATAGAAAAGCTTGCAGGATTGGAGCCAGTCATATAGTCCACCTTCAGGCATCTGCTTGATTGAAAGCAGAGCTGGGCAAAGCCCTGGGCCCCATCCTCCGATGTGCTGAGTTCCCATCGCTACCATTGCAGTTACAAGTCAGTGTCGCTTCCCCAGGCTGTAAACAGGAATGATGACCATACTCCCTCAGCTGCCTAGCATGCTTGGAGGTGGATGGTGCTAAGCAGTATTACTATTGTTTTGGACCTGGGCTTGAGCAGCAAGGTTTGGATATGGATCTGAACCGGAGGGCTCCCGTCTGAAGTGAGGTGGAGTTTGCTTTCAAACCCATCTATGTAGAATTTCAAGCAGAAGAACAGTGTCCTTTGTAACATGAAGGTTGTAAGCTCTTTGGGGCAGGGACTATCTTTCTACAGCACCTGGCACAACAGGGCGAGGTCCCTAGGTGCTGCGGTAATACTATAATCTACTGTGGTTCTGTGTTTAAAAGATCAGAGGCAGGGAGGGCTCTGCAACCAAACCCCATAGGTGTGCTGTGTGTGCCCACAGGTTGGCTCCACCTCCCCCTTCCTGCAAACTCTACTTAATTACTTGTGCAAGGAGTGCTGAGCTCTCTGCATCCAGGCCAGGCTGGCTTTATTAAATGAAGTTCCTGCAGGGTAAAGATGGGAATTTACCTGGATCATCTGTTAGCTCCTCTCCAGGGAGGGAGGTGAGTCTGGTGTTATGGGCTTCATTTCAAGAGACACTGGTTCTTTGAGGGGTCCCAAGACTACGCTTTTGGGTTATGTTTGGCCAAATCAGTGGTTTGATCCTATCCTAATGCTTTTTAACTCTGTGCCTTTACCAGTTTTAATGGAAAACCCTTTCCAGTTCAGTGAGTCTTTCTCTTGTGGTTCACTCACCCAGCTCCACTTGTGTGGCCAAAACCAAGTTGTATGCAGTGTTGTTGTAGCCATGTTGGTCTCGGGATATTACAGAGATATGGTGGGTGAGGTAATATCTTTTATCGGACCTACCTGGTGAGAAAGACAAGCTCTGTGTCAGCTCGAAAGCTTTTGTCTCTCCCCAACAGAAGTTGGTCCAATAAAAGCAATTACCTCCCCACATTTTGTCTCTCCAAAACCAAGTTGGCATTTAACTTCAGACTGGTAAACACTCATCCTGAGAGAGAAAGAAAAGGGATGTTTGAGCAAGGTGCAATTTATACCACAAGGGCTCCTGGCAGCAGCAGCATCACCTGTAATTGGGTCACAGTTGGTAGCTCCCAATCCGTGCTTTACACCTGGCATTGCTGCTGTGTACATTGGGATTAATCTTCTTATTAAGTTTAGTGGGGGCTGGATGTGTGGGAGAGAGAGACACCTGTCCTGATACAAGAGAGGCTGAGCCCTTCTTCTTGGTCTGAAATTCTAGGGCAGTCTGAGATCCTACCTCCTGCTCCCTCCATTCCGGCTACTCTTAATTAATGCTAGAAATTCCACTACAGTACAAAGTGGGAAGGGGGGTTGTGCATCTGAGGTCTTTGTATTTTTAAACCCCAGTCCGTAAACCACCCAGGCATCTGGGACTGCAGCCCATGTAACCCACTGGTCAGTGTACATGTCTTCAGCTCTGTGCCTTATCCATAGAGGATAAGGGTGTGTTTACAGCTCTCAGAGTGGCTGTCCGGCTCAGAGTATCAAGGCTCATATTGTCATATTGCTCAAATAAATTGGTTAGTCTCTAAGGTGCAACAAGTACTCCTTTTCTTTTTGCGAATACAGACTAACACGGCTGTTACTCTGAAAATTGTCAGGTATGTCACTGCTTCAGTCTCCAGTTTGCTGCTCAGGATGGTGGCTGTCATATGCATGATTCTTGGCCTTGTTGAGATGTCCTGGGTCTAGTCTACATCTAAGAAGGGCGTATTTCTGCCCCTCCAGTCCTTTCCCAATAGATGTTAATGTATCTCATGGATTCAGAATATCTGAGCCAATCCCAAATGGGCCTTCAAATTTCCCATATTAGTTTAGGGGACAGGACTCCTGGGTTCTGTTCCCACCTCTGCCACTAACTTGCTATTTGACCGTGGGCTAGTTAAAACCTCTTTGGATGCCTCTGTTCCTCCTGCTGTGAAAGGAGGATACTGGCGCCCCCCCTCCGCCCCCTCAAGGGTTGAGAGTGTTAATGGTTCGTTTCAGAGTAGCAGCCGGGTTAGTCTGTATTCGCAAAAAGAAAAGTAGCTCATGAAAGCTTATGCTCAAATAAATTTGTTAGTCTCTAAGGTGCCACAAGTCCTCCTTTTCTTTTTAATGGTTCATAAAGCCCAGCTGTTTTGGACGTGCAAAGTACTTGTGTTAAGCACTCTCACAGAGCAGTAACTACCCACTTGGATGAGGTTTGATCTTATTTCTGTAGCACCTTGCATTCTGAAGACTCCCAAAGCAATTTACAGTTGCTGCAGTTCACTCCATGCGGTTGTACCCTTACAAATGTTTGGGAGCCCCATTTAGTCACTGTGGCCATAGGGGTCCACCTATGGGGCTCACTTTGTAAAATTGATGCTTTGCACTCCACCCCAGAGGTGGGTGAATGAATCAACAATTGATCTACTTGGAGCTCCTGGAATGGATCTTTCTATCAATCTCCATGCCACCTAGAGGCTGGGCTGTCTGTCTGTCTCTCCCACATAATCCTTGAAGGACGATAAAACACAATAAGAGGCACCCTGAAGTCATTAACCCTTGGGAAGCTGAGGGCAAGCAAATGAGTCACAAAGAATTGAGTGGGAGGGGAGAGACATTAGGCATGAATCCAGGGGCGTTCATTATATGTAATGAGTTAATGACTGCCCATGAACTTCTCAAATCTGTGGAGGAAAGAGGCTCCTCTTTCAATGATCATAATTGCAATAGCAGGGGAAGGCTGGGAATGATGCTCCGTGAATCCTCATCAACATGCTCCAAGAATAGATTGTTCCAAGTCTGGGCTGAGCTATTGGCTGCTGGAGAAATCCCAAACTCTCCCCAACTCTTCCCTTTCTACTCTGTAAGACTTGCTCAGTTACTGCAGCAATGAAGGGGACCCTGGGTAGACAGATCATATACGTTTGCCCTAGGGAGTTCAAAAACCCACATTCTTGTGGTGGTTCAGTCACGGGGGTAAAAAGCACAGTTCTGTCTTGTCCAAGGCTGCAGCAGGAATCCAAACCTGGCTAAACTTAATCCAGTGCCTCGCTCTGTGGTGTTAACAAATCTCCCCAGGCCACTGAGGTAAAGTGCATTCTAAAGTAAAGGGCCCTTCGTTTGTTTTAGTGAGGATTATGCTACAACAAACTAAGTGTTTATCTGTCGCGTGGGAATCTGCCCCCCAGGAAAGCCTGCCACAGGTTAATTGTTCATGGGAACCTCTCTGTGTGCATTAAGTCTTGTCTTCATACCACTCAAAGTGCTCTAACAAACTGTTAATGGGCATGTCAGCAGGGCGTACATAACCGTCCTTGGCAGGCTAGCACAGGGTAGATTCACACCCCAGCTTGCTGCAGACTAATTGTTCATGTAGACAAGACCTAAGGCCACTTTACTTCTGAGTGCGAATATCCAGGAGGGGGGAGGGATGTTAATGTGCTTTAACTTCCCTTTTAAGTAAAAAGAAAAGGAGTACTTGTGGCACCTTAGAGACTAACCAATTTATTTGAGCATGAGCTTTCGTGAGCTACAGCTCACTTCATCAGATGTTTACCGTGGAAACTGCAGTTTCCACGGTAAACATCTGATGAAGTGAGCTGTAGCTCACGAAAGCTCATGCTCAAATAAATTGGTTAGTCTCTAAGGTGCCACAAGTACTCCTTTTCTTTTTGCGAATACAGACTAACACGGCTGTTCCTCTGAAACCTTTTAAGTAAATTTGTCCTAACCTGCCTGAGTGTCCCTGTGTAGCCAACCCTCATGCCATTCCCCCAGCATTCTTTTAGCAAAACAATTGACTGGGGAGATCTGTGTGACGCTGGACAGGTCATTTAGGCTGTGTCTACATTGTCCCACAGTTCAGACTATGGGGGTGTGAACATTAGTCCTGTTTAAAGAGGACAGTGTTAACGCAAACTAAGGTATCCTATATGTAGTTCACTCCCACAGCGTCCACACAGGGGAGTTACTGTAGTTCATTCCTCTATCGTCTGAACTGTGGGGCTGTAGAGACAAACCCTTAATCTCTCTGGATTTCAGGGCTTGTACACGTGGGGAGTTTTTTCCATCATAACTATTCCTGATTACCTATCCCCGAATAACTCCATGTGTGGATGTCCTTATTCGGAATTATTTTAATCCACTTCCAATCTGGATTAAGGTAATTCCGAATAAGGCACTCTTATTCTGGAAAAAGAGCATCCACCCATGGAGTTATTTGGGAATTCTACTTAAATTTCACACCCTGCCTTAATCCAAATTTATTTCCCAGTGTAGACAAGCCCGCAGCTCCCCATCTATGAACTGGGGAGCTATGAGACTTACCTCCCCAGGGTGTTGTGATGACCCCATAAAGACTTGGGCAGACACTCCACTGCTGTGGGATATGGGTCACAAAGAACCAAGGTAGAAAACATGCCCCAAGGACATCAAAGAGCAGAAGTGGCCGGATCTCCAGCTCTAAGGCACGTGAACGGCTGATCCCTCATTGAAGGGCGCTGATTCAGTATTGCCCCAGTCAGCAATTCCATTTCCTGAAGCACAGCTGCCTAGAGCCGCTGTTCACCCTCCCGTCCTGTGACTGACCAGGCCAGCTCCTGCTGAGTTTACGGGATCTAATGCAATCAGAGTCAGAGGCGGAACAGCACCCTGGTATATCTATTTACAGGCTCACGGCAGAGGGCTCTTTCTCGTCACGCCCCTCCCCTTGCTTTGAGCCCATCCTCACATAGTCCCTGTCAGAAGCCGCATGAGCGAGGCGGGAGAGATGGGACATGTTAAAGGGAAACCCAGATGACTCAGCTGACAATATTAGCTCAGATGACAAACTAATGCTCACGATAATTGCCATTTACTGGCAGAGGAGGCTGAACTGGGTCATATTTATTTGTGCAACTCAATGAGGCACCATCTGTGCTGCTGAATACCACGCCCCTGCCAAGATGATGGGTACATAGTTCAGATAAAAATAATGACCTGAGAGCTTTGTGCATCTAGGCTGTGGGAAGGAGCAGTGGAGCAGAAGGGCAAAAGCTCGCTTGATCTTGATTTTCAATATGAATATAGACCGTGAAAGCGGGGCCTCACAATCCTTCTGACTTTTTGGGTTGGCCTCTTGATCAAGGCACTAGCCTAGGCCTCGAGATCTGGGATCAACTCCTGGTTCTGCCCCAAACTCCTTATGTGACTTGGACAAGTCACTTCATCTCCCTCTGCCTCAGTTGCCCATCTGTAAAACGAAGATAATTCTTCCTTTTGCCTGTCTTGTCTTGTTAGCTTGTGAGTTCTCTGGGATAGGGTTCATCTCTTACGTTGTGTTTGTACAGCATCTTGCACAACAGGGCCTTTATCTCTGCTAGGGCCTCTAAGCACTTACTGGGATGCCAATAAGAAATGGAAAAGAGTCTGGGGTAAGTGACCCAGTGAAGGGGCTGAGCCTTCCAAGGCTTGGCCTCTCTGTGAACCATGGTCCTTTGATATTGCCGATACTGATGCTATTTGCAAAGGCTAGTGGGAGTGGTTTTGTGTTGGAACGCCTTCCAGTGCCCTCCTTGTGACTGGAGCTTTGTGTCCCACTCCAGACGGGTGGTGCTGTTGACTTCAGTGGAATGGAGAACTGTTTCTTGCTTTGGTCCCCTAAAGAAGGAACCCCCTCTGGTGTGGATCTCTGATTTCTAATGCGCTCTCTTCTTTTCTCCGTAGTACAGAATGTGAAGCTGGGGGAGAGACCTGGAATATGAAGCCTGTCTACCGGTGCCTGGACTCTGCATTGTAGTGACTGCATCTTGCAACCTAAGGAGGAAGAAGGGACAAGATGTTCACTGCTGATAAAAATGGCAGCCAGTGTGTCTCCATTGGACTGTGAAAGGAGACTTTGGACCTTGGTGTCTGTCTGTCTGGGAGCCCCAGGAAGGCTGCTGTCTGGTTGACACAGCCCTCTAATATTAAGTGGAGTGAGGGCAGCATGGCTCAGAAAGCGTGGGTCAGCATGCTCTTCCACAACCGCAAAGCCCAGCTCCTGCTGGTCAACTCCCTGACCTTCGGCCTGGAGGTCTGCCTGGCTGCTGGGATCACCTACGTGCCACCGCTCTTGCTGGAAGTGGGTGTGGAGGAGAAGTTCATGACCATGGTTTTGGGTAGGTGGCTTCTTCCTTTCTTCAACTGAGATGCTCACCCCTTCGGTGGGTTCAGAGGGCAGTGGGGAATCGGGGCATGAAGATTTGTATCCCCACGCTCTGATCAGCTGAGACAACTCTGTGCCAGGGAGAATGTGCAGCCTGTTGGCTTAGAGCGAGGGACGGGGAGCCAGGGCTCCTGGGTTCTTTTCCTGGCTTCTGCCACTGAATTGCCTGTGTGGCTTTGGTATGTCTTTGCCTCAATTTCCCCTTCTCTAAGACCGGGATACTTCCCTGAGGGGCTGAGGGCTTAGTGTCGATCAAGTGCTCTGTCACGCATGGTGGAGGGCTGTTCTACTGTGCGCTTACCAAGTTGCCTAGAAGCCTTAAAGTTCAAAGTGGTGAGGGGGCAGGTGATGGTGGGGTCTGGTTTCTTGGGCTGAGCTAAGGCCAAGGTTTTCACAAGTGACTATGGATGTCCTACTTGAGACCGCTTAAAGGGGCCTGATTGTCGGAGGGCGGGTGCTCAGCACTTGGACAGACAGGCCCCCTTAAGGTGTCTCAGATGGGCACCCGCAATCACTTGTCGCTTGTGAAAGTCTTGGCCCTAGCTCTTATTGCTGGGCACAGGGATCGGCTGCAGCACTTGGACACTGCCCCTAAAGCCACGTCTCTGTCTCCATTCCAGGGATTGGGCCTGTCCTGGGCCTTGTCTTTGTACCGCTGATTGGCTCCGCCAGCGACCACTGGCGCAGCAGCTACGGCCGGCGGCGGCCCTTCATCTGGGTCTTGTGCCTGGGAGTCATGCTGAGCCTCTTCATCATCCCCCATGCCGGTCGCCTGGCAGGCTTCTTCGCCCTCAGTGCCCACCCCCTGGAGATTGCTTTCCTCATCCTGGGCATTGGCTTGCTGGACTTCTGCGGCCAGGTCTGCTTCACTCCCCTAGAGGCCTTGCTCTCGGACCTCTTCCAGGAGCCTGACAACTGCCGGCAGGCTTTCTCCATGTACGCCTTCATGATCAGCCTGGGTGGCTGCATCGGCTATCTGCTTCCAGCCATCGACTGGGCCAGTAGCTTCCTGGCCCCTTACCTGGGGGGGCAGGAGAAGTGTCTCTTCAGCCTCCTCACCATCATCTTCCTGGGCTGCGTCCTGGCCACCCTCTTTGTGACAGAGGAAGCAGTGGGGCAGGTGGATGCTCTGGCAGGCCCTGCACTGAAGGACTCTTCCCCCAAGCCCTCGTCCCCCAGCGGTTGCTCTTGCCGGGTTTCCAAAAGCCTCTTGCGAGCCAGGCATGTGGTCCAGGCCTTGAGGGACCTCTGCACATTGATCCCACGGCTGCGTGGCCTCTGCTGCCGCATCCCCAAGGTGATCCGGCGGCTCTTCGTGGCCGAGCTGTGCAGCTGGATGGCCCTCATGACTTTCATGCTGTTCTACACTGACTTTGTTGGCGAAGGGCTGTACCAGGGTGTTCCCAGGGCCGAACCGGGAACAGAAGCCAGACGTCACTATGATGAAGGTAATGAATGAGCCAAGTGCCTTCAAGGCTGCAGAGGCAGAATTTGCTTCCATACGCAGGGCAGTAGAAACGCTGAGATGGGATCAAAGATGGGCTCTACCTTTAGGGTTCAGCTCTCCCTGCTCCTGGGTCTGAGCTCAGGTGCGTATCCCGAGCCTCTGCTGGTTCCCCAACATCCACACAGCTATTTTTAGCACACTAGCGTGAGTTCTGCCAGCACAAACCTGCCTAGCCAGGCTGGGAGGCACTCTCCCAGTTGCAGTATAAACGTGTCTGAATTGGGTATCCTCTCTAGCTGAGATGTGGGCAGGGAGGTAGGTGTATTTATATCTATGTCTGCCAGCACTTGGTGCTCTGCTTCGGCCACATGTGACTTCGCTGCATAGGCTGGGGTGAGAATCTGCCAGGACCAGAACCGCTTGTCTGAATCTACCAGGTTTTTAATGATTATTTTTGGTATTTCATCCCCAAACCTGACAGGTGGGTAAATGGAACTCTTCTCCATTTTACAGATGGGGAAAACTGAGGCATGGGTATGTGATCAGCAGAACCAAAAGTCAACTTCTCTCTGCACGGTGTTGCAAACCCCAAACCCACCCCTAGTTTTTACCGGTGTCCAGCACCTGACAACAGTGTGAAGAACTGAGTTAGTTTCCTTGACATAAAATCTCATGCTCCAAGGGATGTAAGCTGATCATCTTGGGTGGTGGAGGGGCAGGAAGGAATTCTCTTCCTCCCACTCGTCAGACAACATTACACAGTTGCTTGGCTACATTACAGGGTGACTTTCCTCTTCCTCTGAAATATAAAATATGGGCCTAGAGCCTGATTCAGTGGAGCCGCAGGTCTGGTGCCTGAATTCTTAAGAGATACTGTAGTCCAGCAGCTAGCACACTCAGCCGGCAGTTTGCAGCTTTACCACTGATCCACTGTTACCTCAGATAAGTCACCTCACCAGTCTGTGCCTCAGTTTCCCCCATCTGTACAATGGAGCTCATGATGCCTGCCTACCTCTTGTAAATCACTTAGCGATTGGTGGTGCAAAGCCCTGGGAGTGTTAAGTAGCGGTGAGAGGAGCCAAGCTGCAATAATGGTGTTCAGACCCCTGTCTCCTGGCTGACTCGCTCATTCCAGCACTGCTCTCTTCCTGGGTTCTCTTCATGTGCATGCTCTCTGGAAGTGTTGGAGCCCTCTGGCTCAGCTTCACAGCCTCTTGTTTTCTGGTCCTCTCAGATCTAAGCACATAGGCCATCGTCCTCTTTGTCCTGTGTGCATTAGTTGTATACTTTGGCCTCTATATACCTTGGCCTCTAGATTTCCTTATTGCTGCCTTGTACATTTCCTCCTTTGTTAGGCTGTAATCATTCATATTAATGTCTCTGTTAGCTCAAGAATCAGCTTAATTGGTGTTTAACAGTTCTGCTGTGGTAGCCCCAGAGGCTTCCACCAGGTCAGGGCCATTGTGCTAGGCACTGTACAAACATCCTGTTGGCGACAGTCCCTGCCCCAAAGAGTTAATGGTCTAATTATCTATAGTCCGACCTGCCTCTCCGAAGGGGAAGGGCAGGATGGCTGCCAGATGCTTCAGAGCAGCTTGTGGATATCTCACTCTATGCCAGACTCTAGAGTGTCTCACCAGCTTAAAACCATTCTTTGTTCCCTTTTGTTTTGTTGCTTTGATTTGGTGTCGGATAGCACTTCCTGGTTAGCAAGCAGGCAAGAGACGGATTCTGGGAGAAAGTCAGGGGAAGGTGGGGGAGTGACTTTCTAAGGCACAGCTGCCCAACCCCCCCTTTGTGCCTCTGCAAATGTTCCCCTCGGTTCTTCCCCTATGTGTGGGTGGTGTTCTCACCAGCACTGTCTGGGGGTCCTTTGTGCGTAATCTTGGCAGAGAATCAAAGGAGTGAATGGACTATGGAGACTGGCAGGGTGGGGAATCTCACATGGTTGCTGCCCATCCTGTACCTGTGCTCCGAGCAAGGATGGGACTCTAGTCTCCAGAGCTTGTGTTGCAATGTGCTGACCTCTATGGAGTAGTGCAGAAAGACCCTGCTTGGATCCTACAGAGTCCCCATAGTTGCTTGGCTTTTGGAAAGCGGAGCAGGGGGAGCCTGCCCACCACCCCTTCCCCACCGGTGTGTCTGTTGTTTTCAGGCGTCCGCGTGGGCAGCCTGGGCCTGTTCCTCCAATGCGTCATCTCCATCTTCTTCTCGACAATCATGGACCGGCTGGTGAAGCAGTTTGGGACCCGGGCGGTCTACCTGGCCAGCGTGGCATTCTTCCCCCTGGTTCCCTTCGTCATATGCTTCTCCCAGAGCATCCTCGTCGTTACCGTCTCGGCTGCCCTGACGGGCTTCACCTTCTCTGCACTCCAGATCCTGCCGTACACCCTGGCGTCGCTGTACCACCATGACAAGCAGGTGGGGGCCACTTCTGGGGGGAAAGGGGGATGATGCACAACATGATCACAACATGGGGTTGCAGCTCAGCTTGGCCTGTGGCTGGAAAGAAACACACACACACACACACACAAAGGGTGTCACATGTGCCTCACAACACAAATGGGGCCTCTCACCTGAACCCTCTTGATCTTGGGAATCTGAATAAAAACACAATCTGGCTCTAACCCAGTGCTGGTTTTGGGCGGGGGGGGATCCAATTCCCTAGCCCCTCCCTACTTGCCACAGCCAGCACATGGATGTTCATATTGCGTTGAATGAGGAGTGTGTCTTTCTAAAGGCAGCGTCTCATCTCCTCCGCATTCTGAATGCTTGGCTGGAAATCAGTCCAGGGTCCCAAGAGGCTTCTGCGCGTCTTGCACCCAATCACCTTTGCAGCATCACCAACCCCAGCTCAAAAATCACAAGTCAGGTCCCCAAAACCCCCATGAGACAGTAAGTAATAAATTACAAATGGTGGGTTCTCTGTTTGCATTCTGGTTGTTGAGCCTTTAGGGTTCACGCTTTCAAGCTTTTGTCCGTAACCACCAGGGTGTCTGAAATGAAAACTGAGAGCTGGGGCTTGAAGAAAAACATCCAATGTTGAGACATGATAAAATCACAATACTTGGCCGTGCAGCTGTTGTTCCGCAGCGCTGGGAGCCTCTCTCACACTGTAAACGCACCAGTGATTTGTGGCATGACAGCATCTTTGGGCCCCATTGCAGGCACCTTGCTGTGTTGTTAAAGAACTAGGAGCTTTTATTGCAGGCATCCCGGGGCTCGCCTAGAACTAACACTTCCAGGCAGCCCGTCCCAGTGTGCACTAGGATGCCTGTCAAACTAGGGATGCATTTGGAGGGCCTGTTCCACTTTGGTTTTTTCCAAAGTCCTGGCCTTGGGATCTACTCCAGCCAGCAAAAAATTAAACCCACCAGGGCATTTTCCTGTCCAGCAGAAATGTATCCATCTTCTTGGATCCACTTCCTTTTTGTTTTTCTTTTTTACTGGTTTAATTCTTTTTCTTTGTTGCCTTTTGTCGTTCCTTTTTTCCTGCTTTCTGTTTTCCTCTCTTTTTCTCCCTCTCCTCCTGAAGTGAGTCAATGAAAGGGTGCCGCATAACAGCTGCCCCTCCAGCGTTGTGTGGAACATTAGTGCAAGCCAGCAAGACTAACCCCATCTGACGCTGCTCACATGGACTGTGTAAGTTGGTCTCTTTTCGTGCATGCTCTCGATTCTACCTGTACTAGTGAGACCAAAGAGGCCTTGTCTAGAGTAGGATAAAAGATGTTCTAATTAATGCATTTGAATGTCTATCATAGACGAAGCACAATGCATTTAACACATGCTTAGCTAGTTGAGTTAAAACCTAGGATTTCTTCAACTCAACTAACTTGAGTTGCAACAGGGCTCCAGCTGTCAGCCCTGTGTGGGGCAATGGGGCTCTGGCTGTCAATGCCCCACAATGCTCACTTAAGTCAGTGCAAGTGCTCCTGGTGAGGATGGAGGGTAGTGTGGATATGAAGAGCTGATTTAATTACTGCAGTGGCTGTAGGTTGACCTAACTTAAGTCAACGTAGTTTTTTGGTGTAGCTATGCCCTTAGTTTTTAAGTCTACACGAGGCTTTGTGTTCATGTGTGTGTTAGAACATGTACCCCTTTAAAATTCTGGTCTAGACCAAGTCAGAAAGAGCAAGAAATTGTGGCACATGCCTTCAGGGTATCCAAGTAGGCTTCGTGGACCATCCTGCATCTAGTATGAGGCATCTAGAGCTCTGAGGAGTTTGCTGGAGTTTGGCACTCACAGTTTATAACCAACTTCTCTTCTGTGCTGGGTTTTGCACCATTTAATTTCTGGATCCCTCTAACCTTGGTGTGGTAGGTGTAAACTGAGAGTTTCGTGAAGCTCTAGCCATTGCATTGCATGTGGGATTCAGGTGGCTTGACTTAGATTCATAAGACCAGTGAAGTGACCAACTTTATTACAAAACACTGTCTTAGGAAGATTCGTGGCTAGTCAGAGTCCATGTAAAGCTGTTTGACTCTCAACAAAAGGTTCTTGGGGACCAAAAGTCTCATCTGGCTTTAGTTCTTTGCTTGGATCTGAAACGGGTGCATTGCAGAGCTGTGGCCGTGGCTTCAGGGAACGTTAATGGAAAATAGCTAGCGATACTATACCACAGCAGAGTCTGTGTGTGTCAGGGGAGGTACTAGATGCTGCCGATTGCTGTGGTGTGGCTTGGACACAGAATGCAGCAGAGATGCCTGCACACCCTGGAGTAAGCTTGTGTAATTCTCCAGTGGCCCCCCGTTTCCCTTGTGAGTGAAAAGCTGATATCGTTGGTCCTTTGGACAGTGCAGCTTCTACCCTTGCACTCCTGGTATAAAATTCTCTTCTCTCAACCAGGCAGTCTTCTTTCTCCTGGCTGGTTTTATCCCATCACATGGAGAACGGATTAATATGTCCTTGGCTCGCCACAGTTCATGGGATGTGTCTAAGCACAGATGTCTCGAAATTTCAAGGCATGAGTTTTGCAGCAGTTTCTCTTGCTGCACATAAACATTGATTATTTGTATTACAGTAGCCCACAGAGGTGCCAGCTGAGATCAGGGCCCCAAGGTGCTAGGTGCTGTACATACATTCAAAAAGGGACAGTCCCTGCCTCAAAGAGCCTACAGTCTAAATAGACAGGCAGACAAAGGGTGAGAGGAAAGGCAGGATTATTCTCCTCATTCTACAGATAGAGACGTGAGGCACAGAGAGACTAAATGGCTTGCCCAGGATCATCTGGGGTGTCTGTGGCAGGGCTGGGAACAGAGTCCCAGTGCAGGACCTTAACTTAGCTGGGTGTCAATGTAAAATTCTAGGTAGCAGTGGAAGGAACTTGGCCAGAAGAGGCTGCTTGGGTTACCCAGAGGAATGATGCCTTTGCAGTGATACTCCCTGCCTCATTCTCACTAAGAGCTTAACTAACCAGCTGTGGAATTTCCCTAGCACTGGGGCCTTGGCAGATTGTCCTGAGAGGCCGCTCTGCTGCCCAGTTGCATAGGGAACCTGTGCAGCCTTAGGTTGTACGGAGCGATGTCACAGTTCACACTGGATAGTGTCACAGAAGTGATCTAAGGCCTGGTCTGCCCTACAGAGCAAGGTTGATGTCCGGCAGCTTACATGGACCTAACTCTGTCAGCATACACACTACAGTGCTACTCTTGCCCATGTGCATCACCCACGACACCAACCTAAGAACTCCACTTCCACAAGAGGTGTAGCGCTTAGGTCAATGTAGTGAAGGTGACACAGTGTCCGTGTAGATACGATGTTACTTACATTGCCCTGTGCAGGGCTGACAGCTACCTCCCCCCCTGCCCCAGCACTGTCAGCCTGAGCTGTTAGCTGGGTGTCCGGCTCACAGCTGGACTCCCCCCTCCCTGCCCCCAGGGTTGACAGCTGGAGCATGGCAGGTGCTCAATTTCACAGCAGGGACCCTACTAGCAGTGAAATTGACATTCTTGTCAGTTTCACGGCTGCTAGGATTTCACATTTTGTTTCCGGCTCTGGCAGTCAGCCCTGGGTGGGGGGGACTCCATTTCAGTCGGCACAACCGCTCCTGGTGAGGACCTGTAGAAGGAGGGCAGTGTGGACACCAACAGCCGATCAAATTGCTGCCGTGGCTGTAGGTTGACGTGACTTAAGTCGGCCTAATTTCGTAGTGTAGACAAGACCTATGATGGAAAGTTAATTCAGACTAAGGTAGAGTGTGAATTTGGAGTACCATAGCTAGTCCTGAATAACTGCATGTGTAGACAAGCCATAAGGGCCATTGCTTGACCATTTGAGCACTTCAGTTATGCAGCTACTCACCTCTTATTTGCAGCAATACACCTTTGAACGCACAATTGCCTGTTTGCCTGCCTGTGCTCCAGTCCTGAGATTATAACTTCGACACTCTGCTTTTGAAAAACAATAGTGCCAAATCCACAGTCCAACACGTGCCCTTCAGTCCATGTGGCGGTGCCCATGCTTCCAAAGCAAGTATTGGCTGTGAGCAGCTCACGTGTCCTGCAGCAGGAGGGCATTGAGTCCCTTAGATCAGCTGCACAAACTGCACCCACCCCAGATGATTCCTGTAGCCCTGGGCGATGGTATCACTCCCGCATTGGACCAAGTTCATCCCTGGCCTGGCTGCAGTGGCATGAGGGTGGGGAGGGCTTTGGCCCATTCTCCCTAGGTAAGGGAGCACTTTCTGTTTAGAGGGATTCTCCTCTCACACTAGTATGTGCTGGGAGTTGGGCCATTGAAGTTCATGGAGCTGTGTTTGGAGCGAGAGGAGAATTGGGTTTGCACCACCCGCTTCTCTGAGAGTCCAGCGATCAGACGACTCTCAAGGCTCGGAGAGAAACTGCCCCAAATGGCAGAGCCTTGTTTGGCTTTGGGTTGAGACGCTCCCTGGCGTTGGTGATGCTTGAAGCGAACACACAAAGGTACCGCTTGGAGCCAAGTTACCGCAGCAGGTCAGTGTCACCTTGAATCTGAAGCCTAACAAAGAAGTTCCTGCCAATCTTACCTGCTGCTGGAAACCATCAAACTTGCCCCAGACTTGCTGCAAATGTCTCCAGCCTTTAGCCAAACCTGACCTGAGGATTTTCACAGGACTGGAACAATTTGAAGCCAGGGGAAGTTTTGCCAGGCCGAGGGGTGTATCGCTCCAGCTCTGCCCTGCTCTAGCTAATGGCACCACTCTCCTGGTCCGCTCTCTGGCTCTTTAGGGCTTCACCACCCCCTGCAGTTTCTCACTTTCCCTCTCTCTTTATTTTGTCTCTCAGGTATTTTTGCATAAGTACAAAAGCAAAGAAGAGGAAGATGCGGCTCAGCTGGATAAGAAATCAGGCTTCCCCAAAGGCCCCCTCTCCAGCCAGAAGCTGACCTACCAGAATGGCCATTCTGGGGGCCTCTTCTCCTCTCCTCCAGCTGCCAGCTCGGCCATGTGCGTCGGTTCCCCCTGCGAGGTCTCGCTCATGATGAGGGTGGGAGACTCTGACCCTGCAGCACCCGGTCGAGGGATCTGCCTGGACCTGGCCATTTTAGACAGCGCTTTCCTCCTTTCTCAGGTGGTCCCATCCCTTGTCATGGGGTCGATCGTCCAGTTTACACAGTCGGTGACTGCCTACATGGCGTTCGCCACCGGCCTCGGGTTGGTGGCTATTTACTTTGCAACCAAAGTCGTCTTTGATAAAAGCGACATGGCCAAGTATTCGGTGTAAAACGGGGCACGTGTGCACGTGGCACACAGCCAACTTGTTTGTACACGTGCATTGACACTATATAATAGGGCAGGCTGCACGTTGTGCACCCCTCCTTTCTGTCTCTCATGCTGTTTCTGTGGGGCACGTGGCTGGGGAGAGGTTGTTGGGCTAAGCGCGGGTGTATTAGGAAGGGCACCATGCTGTTCTATCTCCCACCATCAGAGTTTGCCCCGTGGTGCCTTTGTCTGAGAGCGGTGTTGCACAGAGGGCATCAATGAGGTGAAAGGAGAAGAGTTTCCCTTCAATCACAGGGTTAAATTTCTGTACAATTCCCCCGAGGGAGGGAGGCAGTTGCATCCCGGAGGGAGAGTGCTCCTCCTCTCATTTGTGGAGAGACCAGCTTAAATCCTGCCTTGCTCTGGCAGGCTTCACCTTGCTTCGGAAATGTAAATCCCCTCTCTGACTGGTGGCTGCTGTGGACTGGAATATTCGGGGGACAGGCGGGAGGGTGCCGCATTGGCAGAGCGGGGGGAAGACCTCCAGGGTTGGAATGGGGCATTGCCGGTCAGGACGCGGGTGCATTGGCAGAGCTATGTGGAAGCAGTCCTGCATGGCACAGGGGTGCTGGAGGGGCATGGGCAGAGTCTGGCTCTGTCCAGGGCTAGTAATCCCATTACTCTGGTGAGCACCACACTAAGTGACCACTCGGTGTTAGTGCACCCCAGGCCACCCTGCTGCACTGGCTGGCCGCTCTGTGCACCTCAAGTGCCTGAAACCTATTTGCAGTGGCCTTATAAAATGGCCTGGTTCAAGGCAGTAGGCAGAGTTGATTTAACAAGGCTCCAGGGCCGTGTTTTTATGGCACTGCTCAGACCTCATTAGCCTGAACATTACCCTGTATTCAAGTGTAATAATCCCCAGCGGGATGTGCGGAGTCTGGTGTCCTCTGTACCCTGCAGGGGCTGGAAGCACTTATCCTTTGTCCCCCCTGCCTGAGGCATGTTAACGGGACACTCTGTCCCAGGTCACTGCTGTGAAGTCCTTTCCATGTAGGAGATGCACGAAGCCCTTGAACGAGATCCTGTCCCAGCTGCCCTGTTGCATGGCTGAATAATTGGACGTGCTGCCCTCTCTTCGGGCCACGTTCACTGATGGTGTGAAAAGGCACATATACCCTGCCCTTTGAAAGGTGTGCAGGAGACTCTTCCGCTGCATAAACCCCTGCTGGTGCCTAGCCTTGCCATCCCTTCCTTGTCCTTATTCATCCCACATGGCTGTGCCTGCCCCCTCCCTCCCCACCTCATGAGATGCTTCCTCCATTTCAAATCTCTTGTTCCTCACATTCTCTGTCTTCTCCACCCACATTGGGTCCCCTTGATGCCTATTCCCCTCCACTCGGGAATAGCCTTGATGCTGATTGGGTGCAGTTGTTCCCTCCGATAGGAGAGTAAGCTGGAGCAGACTCGAGAGGTGACCCTGTAGCATGTCCTGGGTTCTACTCCTCTGTAGGGTCATTTTTCTGCTTTGCCCCTTTTTCAAAGGGAAGAAGCCAAGAATGACCTTTCCACTGATCTGGCCCTGCTCTTGCTGCCATGAATTGATGGCAGAGCTGTCTGGATTCTGAGATCCTGCTGCTGCAGAGGTCATTCCCAGCTGAGAGGATATTCCCGGATCAGTTATATCCCACCCTTATGGAAACACGGGGTGTCTATACTGCAACACAAGCCAGAACTAGTAGAACTTGAGTTAGCAAACTGTGGGTTTGTTAACCTAGGGCCTGAGCATCTGTGCTCATTTGGAACCCCAGGTTAGGAACTGTTGAACCCTGGGCCCCAACCTGGGGCTCCAGCATCTACACTATATTATGTGGGCCCAAATTCAACCACCCATAGACCGGACTTCCTCACACCCTACCAACATGTGGTTGCTCTAGCCCTTTGTTTGTGGTGCAGTGTTGGAAAACTTGACTGTCCACCAAACTTGACTGTCCAGAAGCCAAAGAAAGTCTAGCCTATGGGATTGTGGGATACTTTTGGCAGACTCCCAGAGCATGCATCCAGGGAGGTTGTGTCTACACTGCAAAGCCATGGGGCTTGAACGCTGGGTCCAGTTTGACTTGGACTCTCCATCCCCATGTGGTTCTGAGCCCTGAATTAGCGCAATTTGTGTGTATGGAGAAGGGGGGATAGGCCTGAGCCTGAGTTCAAACCCTGGGCTTACACTGCAGTGTAGACACCCCTATAAAGTCTTCAGTGATTAAATTGCACCTGTTCCCATCTCCCATTTTAACTTCAGAAACCCATTAGACCTTGGGGAAATGATCAAAAGCAGAAATGCCAGCTGGGGCCTAACTCCCATTGAAAACCAAACTGCCACTCGGGCCTCTGAAAATCTCTCTAATGGTTTTTTAAATCCCTGGCTCTTCTATTTTTTCATTCACAGTGGGACTGGCTTCCCCTGCCCCTTGCTATCATTCTTCCCGTGGGGAACTGCTCCACCAGCAAACCTTTTAAACAAGAATCCTGTGAGTCCAGATAATGCCTGGGCCAAGGAGCCAACTCAATAAACCACCTTCTAACCAGTGGGATCAATGCCCCTATTCCAAAGGACGGGGAGAAGAGGGAAGGGCAGACACAAGGGCCAGCAGCCAGTCAGGAGCTAGTGTGGAACTTTACCATGTCAAGTTAAGCCATGGGGCTGATAGCATGGGAAATGAGTTCACAGTGCCCCATATGCCAATAGAGGCCTTTGCTTCCAGCACTCCCAATCTCTTTAGCTTTAACCTAGATCCCTCACTGCCAAGCCTACCCCAAGTCATTCTATTTTCCAGCTGTAGGGAGAACCTTCCCAATGAGCTCATTTGGCAGGGGGGTTGGAATTTCCCCCATGCACGCTTCTGGAGAGTGTGTGTGTACGTGTGCACGCACCTCCATTCTGGCTGGGCTCATAGAGATTAATCTCCAGCTCACTGAGTAGAAATCTGTGTTCTGGGTCCAAAAGGTCATATCTTCTGATTCCATCGACAGAATTTTCTGGGGGAAGGGCCAGTGGCTGGAAATCACCCTTCTAATTTCCTTCCATCCCCCACACCACCCAAAACAAAATCCCACCCACCATTTTTTGGATGAAGTAGACCAGCCACGGCACCTATCTCAAACTGGTATGTCATAATGTTAAATATAATGAAGTGTGTTTTAATAATGTATTAGAGGCTGAAGTAACCCACCCTTTCAATGAGCAATTATATGTGGGTTGCAGATGGGAAGTTATGTACTATGTAAGGAAAACCCCTTTACATTGTATAGCAGAAAGGAGCAGGGGGAAATCTTAAAGAGGCACAATGTATTTACCTAAGATGGCATTTGTTCAGGATGCCAGGCCTAATGATCAAACTCTGTAATAACCACTGACCACAATATTCAAACCAAGTCCATTCAGTGGCCTGGTTTTTCGAAAGCGCTGAACACCCTTTAAAGTCACTGGGAGCTGCTGGGGGCTCAGCACTTCGGCAAACCACTTATTTAAGAACTAAATATAAATCAGGTTTGAAAATAATGGTCCATGAGCGCTCTGGACGTCTTGACCACTCACCTAAAAGATGCATGGAAAAGTGATGGGGTGGAGGAGAAGTGAAGGCCTACTTGTAATATGCTCAGGTCTCAGGCAGGCACCGCCTAGAACAATAAACACCACAAATCTTGAACCAGAGCCTCTCCTTTGCCCCTGATTAAACATAGGCTGAGATTTTCAGAGGGAGTTGGGCACCCAAATCCCAGTGTAAACCTGAGCCTTTGTCTCTACTGTCATGCTCTGACCTGGCCTGTCCCAGGAGAGGGCAGACCCTGTGTGCAAAAGGAGCCTAGTCAGTAGCCAAGACATGATGTCAGGGGAGGTGGCTGTGTTTACTTCTTTTGTGTTTGAAAAGAGAGAGTTGAGCAACTGAACTTCTGACTCCCCAACTAACTTTCGTTTGTATCTGCACCACCTAGTTCTAGGTGGGGCTCCAATTGCCCCCGTTCTGACCTGAGCGGTAGCAGATCCTGGTCTCCTGAGCTCTCCATTTCAACTGGGAAGACACAGCAGGCTCTGGGAATTGCCGGAACTGTGGGGGACTTTATCTGTCTCAGCCGGATAGAGGCTTTCCCATCACTAGTGGCAAAGGAGGGTAGTGGCACTCTAGTGGGGTTTGTTCATAGTAAATAAGCTAAGAAGTTGTCCTCTCCCTCTTCAGCCCAGTGGGTATCTCAGAGGGAGAAGCTATTTAATGTCCGGCTTGCCAGCAGGGGAGTCCAGATTTCCCCCATACAGAGCACTGAGTTGAGCAGCTCCCTTTTCCTCACTTTGCCTGCTGGGCTGCGTGCCAGGAGGTGGCATGGTGGGAGGATGGGGATGGGAGAGAGGAGTGCAAGCCAAGAGCTAGTCATGGCTTCAGCTCCAAACATCCCTGGCCCCCCTGTGAGGTCAGACCCAGATTGTCTCAGGCCCATCTCTAGTAGGAAAACTGCTGTTTCTGAGCGAATGCAAAGACCACAGCTTTGCCCGGATAATCAGCACATACATGGTGCATCTACACAGGGATAAAAGAGCTGATTCAGACTCGCGAGACTCAGGCTATGGGGCTAAAAATTGTGGTGTAGACATTCAGGCCGGAGCCTGAGCACTTGGAGCCTCCAACCTGTTGCTGAAGTAACTTGTGTGTAGATGTAAAAATCTCTGTAGAATGCAAATCATACCCTCCAACCTTCAACCACTGGTGTAAGGTCCGTAAAGGAAAGGGCAGGCAGTTCCTGGGAACTCTGCTGGGTTTGGATGGTAGATCCATTCCCTCTCCATTGAGGAATCATATTATGCCTCTCCCTTCTTGGTTGCCCCAGGGGTGTTTAAAGGGAACACCTTCAGTGGTGTTGGGTCAGCGGAGAAGACTATAAAGGTAGGGTTGGGTCTTTCTTTTCTAATGCATAAGAGTGCATTATTGTGAATCTCTTGTCTAGGGAAGGATGTTTTGATGCTGTTTTCTTTCAGGAAGATACACTGTCTGCAATATGGTCCTCTCTTATTTATTTAGTGGAGTAAATATTTTGTACAGTGTAAGGAGAGGGATATTATAAAATTTATTAAGGAGGGAAATAAAAAACTTTTATGTTGGATCACTGTGTGTGTCACTGAGTTAACTGCACTGCTTTGTGCATGAGAGATGGGCCAGAAATCTTCCTCTAATTCCCCACTCTGAACACTGGTGGGCCGGATAAAGCAGTGACCCACATCTCACCTCCAAGCCACTGTTGCCCTTCTTTGTGTGGCCTGATTGTGCTGGAAGACATGGGGAACCATAAAGCAGCCAGGGAAGGAGGAGACCGGATGAATGAAGACTCCCTTCCAGTGAAACATGTCCCTCTCCTTTCTTTTCCACCAGCACCAGGAAGACCTTGGAAGGGGTGAGCTCATTTGGGGAGGACAAGCTCCCGACCTGCTGCACATCAATCCATGACGGCTCGGAGTCCGACATGGGCCACAAGCCAAGCCCACAAAAGTGCACTGGCCAAGTGGAGAGCAGGGCATCCTCTGTCCTAAGGAGCAAACTCGATGACTGTTTGTATTCATACAGCAGTAGGAACGGTGTTCAAAACTCCATGCGGGATGAGTTGATGATGCCTGTGCCTCCCACATTTTGGATAGCTCTATTGCCAAGCTGTGCTCCACCCACAACTTTCCCTACAGCAGCGGTTGCCATCAACTTATGTCACCACCGCCTCCCTTCCTGGCAGACTTTTGCCTGGCTCTGGGTCAGAGTCCATGGAAGCCAGCCCAGACTTGGCAATAAATCGGATCCAATAATAATTTCTGATGTCGACCTCCCTCCCCATAATGTCCTCCCCCGCTCCCCTGCAAAACACTGCTCTCTGACTCTAGTTCCTGCCCTGCTCCCTGTGCTATTGGTATCCGTGTTTAAGGAGACTGTTAGAATTGCCCCTGTTAGGAGGAGAACACAGCTGAGCCTGGCTTCTCTGCTCTCTCTAGCTGTACCAGCAGATGGTGCTGTAACAGGAGTTCTACTGCAAGAATGTTTTTCTGCTGAATGCATCCGATGAAATGAGCTGTAGCTTACGCTCAGATAAATTGGTCAGTCTCTAAGGTGCCACAAGTCCTCCTGTTCTTTTTGCGGATACAGCCTAACACGGCTGCTACGCTGAAACCTGCAAGAATACTGTATTTCCTTCTGTCCCCAACCTGTTTCCTGAATCTTTTCGCTTCTGCAAACTGCATCCCTTGCTGACAAGTGACCAGCTCACAGCCTTACGCACACAGAACCAAGACTGGACTGCGGGTGAGACACCTGAAAGGTAGCAGGCAGGCTGCAGCCCTGCACAGCTGCAGATGAGCCACTAATTTCTACAGCATCCCAAGTGTGCTAGGAGTATCATTGGCAAATACAGTGACACCATCCCTGTCCTGAGAAGCATCCAGAGTAAGGTACTGGGACTCGATGAGACTGCAGGCATCCGTCCACAGGGAACAGCGTGCAGAGTGGGAGCCTAATGTAGCCCATGGCCCACTGTGTGTTATTTCTCCCCCTTTGTGCCCAATCTACAGAGGACATGCGTCGATTACAGCCCCCAGCACGGACTCATGCTGTGATCCATGATGCCTTTCACCCCTGGATGGGCATGCACAGCAGGTCACACTCTGACCCAGGATGACAGGTGCTTCTGAAATACTCTAGATGAACAGGCCAGGCTTTGTAGCTCAGGCTGTAGAGAGTCCTGCTTATAGCTCTAGAGGTCCCTGGTGTGTTAGCCAAGCTGGGAGCTGAACTGGCATGATGTGTTAAGAGCCTCATTGCTGATGTGATGAATAAGGAGGGGAGAGGAAGACCAGGCTAACAATCAGATATCCAGCAAGGGCTAGGGTACGAACCAATGCTTTATCCGGAGTTAAATGTTTTATCGTTTGCAATATAACGTGCCGTTGTGTTGCCTAGGAGGGAGCACCAATGAGTGAATCCTCACAAAATCCCTGCAAGGTGGCTAAGTATTGTGTGGCCCCTATTTACAGGGGGGAAACTGAGGCACAGAGCCAGGCACTGACTTGTGTGCAGTCCTCTCAGCAAATCAACAGAAGAGTCATAAACAGCACTTGACCAGCCAGCTTCCCCTGTTCCAAAATTAAAACATTAATGAATTTTTTCATTCATGCCATTTTAATTTAATGCCATGAAAATATTTCAGGGTCAAACTCTGATCTCTGGCCCAGGAGAGTAAATCTGGACTAGTTCCATTGGCTTTGATGCAGTTACTTTGCATTTACACTGTAGTAAATGACAGCAGAATCTAGCTCCCCTTGAACATATTTCATCCTTAAACCCACCTTTTTTTACAGAGACCCTTTCCACTTCAACATTTTCAGCTAGAAGAGTTATTTTTTAGAAGCAATCCCTGCAATTGTGCGCAGAGACTGGAGGAAAACTGATTTTGTTCCAGTCTATCTGGGTGTTTGCCTTGTGCAGCGGACCATAGGTGCTGGAACTAAGGGTGCTGGGGGTGCTGCAGCACCCCCTGGCTTGAAGTGGTTTCCATCATACACAGGGTTTACAGTTTGGTTCAATGGCTCTCAGCCCCCCCACTATACAAATTTTTCCAGCCCCCCCCCCCGCACGTGTCGGACAGCACTGTGTGTGGTTCCTTTCATTGTTTCCCCTGTTGTTTGTGTGCACCTTCCACAGAGCAACAGAAGAGAGGAGGTCATTTATAATAACACAAACGCTTTCCCTTTAAAAAAAGTTAAGCTAGGGCCAGATCTTTGAAGGTATTTAGGCATCAGAAGATACAGACACACGGCTCAGGCGGTTACAAAAGTGCCTTGACAGCTAGGGCCTAGAGGCTGCTTAGCCCCAGAGAGGCTGGAACTTTGGAATGTTGCTAGGGTGTAGGGTCGGTTCAGACTTGCTTTCTGATTCCTGCACCTCTACACGCTGTGTCGTCCGCTCCACGCCACTCCCTGCTGCAGAGCAAGGGAGAAACATAAGGCTTGAGCCTGCAAATCTTTACTACTGGGTCTAGATCTGACTAGGGTGAGTAGGCTGCTGGGGGACTGCTCATGTCAGTATGCACAGCTCTCGGTAGTAAGGGGCTGCAGGACTGGACCCAAAGACTGGCTAGGGAACAGCCCTGCATGCAACACCTGTTTTACAGGGCACAAGAAAACACATATTGGGTGAAATGTAGCCCTGTGCAGAGTCACAACAGAAGGCCTCTCCATCCCTTAAGTCCACGCAGTGGGATGTAGGGAGTCCAAAGATCTTGTGCATATGGGTGAGTTTTGCCCTAATGGAATAACAGCAGCTGCTACTGGGGCAACTTGTGTGATGCTCAGGTGTGAGTCAAAGCAGCAGGTGGGTGATGGCTTACTTCTGCTATTAAACCCGTCCCTGGTGCTGGTGGCCAGGGAGAGCAAGGGGCATTGGGTTGCTTCCTCTAGGGGTGGGGTACGGGATTTTCTCTTCCAAGGCTGATGTAATTTTTTTGGTCCCTTCTTGCTGCGAAGCTGGATTCGTAAAGGAGGCTAAGGTGTAATAAAGAAACTCTCGGCTCTGCTTACACATCACTGATTTATTGGCTTAGCAGCCTGGCTGTTTTACTGATGAAACCTTGTGGTGCCCTCTCCTGGTACATGGACAGAAAATCACATACACAGTTTCAGAAAAGAACAGGGTGATGGAGGAAGCAGAAATTAGCACAAACTGAAGGCGGGCTCGATTCCAGTTCCTTGTAGCACACCATGGCAACATTCAAACCAGTACAAAGATTGGCTTTGTTAGCCAAGCCATCCAGATGAGAGAATTGGGGCAAAACATTTCTGAGACGTAACCAAAGACGTAATCTACTAGGTGGGAAAATGACTCAAGAACAAGACAGACCCTTAAAAAGCAATTACACTGGAAGACACTTTAAAAAATGACCAGCCTTCTCTAGACCCATTGGGACAATGCAAGACCTAAAGAAAAACCTCAGTTTAGGGAAACATGTAGCTCAGATAATAAATATATTAAAGCAGTGGCTCTCAACCTTTCCAGACTACTGTACCCCTTTCAGGAGTCTGATTTGCCCCCAAGTTTCACTTCACTTAAAAATTACTTGCTTACAAAATCAGACATTAAAATACAGTATCACAGCACACTAGTACTGAAACATCGCTGACTTTCTCATTTTTACTCTATATTTATAAAAGAAATCAGTTGGAATGTAAATATTGCACTGACACTTCAGTGTATCATATATAGACCAGTATAAGCAAGTCAGTGTCTGTATGAAATTGTAGTTTGTACTGACTTCACGGGGCTTTTTATGTAGCCTGTTGTACAACTAAGCAAATACCTAGATACTTTGATATACCCCCTGGAAAACCTCTGTGTACCCTCAGGGGTACGTGCACCCCGGCCAAGAACCACTGTATTAAACCAAGTACTGAAATGCAGCACTGAACGTGTGCAGGGAGCCCTTCTGAAATTATTTAACTTAAGCTTCCAGTCTAGACACGTTGCTGGAGTATGACCAGCTGGACTCATTAATACACAGAAGCAGAGATGGCCTCAAACAACATGAGCAACTATTCTGCAGCATCCTCAATAAACTAATATTGCAATGCCTGACCGGCACCAGCATAACCCATCCCAAGAAATAGCTCTGTGATCTTGGTGCTGTAAAGAAACCACTAATTTGTCAAAGACACCTAAGGTCATTTAAAATTGAATAGGGGTTGGATGGCCAACTATCTTCAGGCTCTTTTGAAACCCTCCATGTAGATTGATAAAACTATCCAATGTGAGCTGTAGCTCACGAAAGCTCATGCTCAAATAAATTGGTTAGTCTCTAAGGTGCCACAAGTACTCCTTTTCTTTTTATCTGACAATATAATTCAACCCTCTCTGTTGTAAAGAAGTGAAGTTCAGGGCCCAGATTTGTCAGCAAATCGTTACAATGATTCAGGCAAAATCAAGGCACTGAAGAAAAAAATAAATCAAAATGAAAGCTTGATCGTCACGTATATGATCGCCCCCATGTGTCAACAAATCTAACAGCCTGAGCAGCAGAGCAAACAACCAAGAAAGGCTCATAGCATTAGAACCACAGCGACAACACAAAGGGAACCACAAATTTGAAACAACAAGCTAGACTGCTACAGCTCCTTTCACAAAATGATCCTGTTCGTGGGTTATCTCACGGCAGTGAAATGTGCAAAGCCTTCACCAAATACAAAATCAATTGCCATACACGGGAGGTGGAAAGCACAGACTGAACCTATGAGAAGCGCAGGTGTGGAACCCATGTGACAAAGGAGGGACTGAGATAGAGAAGTGCTTCCCAGTGTCTGGAATGGACACAGGCTCAAACCCAAAACACCATTCTTGAGAAAACCGTACCTACCTCTGCCAGAGACCTGCAAACTCTGTCTCTTTTACACCCTGGCAGCACTCGTGCAGCTTGTCCTGTCAGCAAAGTGCGACTGAAATGAAAGACTCTTTCAAAATCCATTTACTCAGGAGTCATTAACTGTTCCTACCTGCTAGAACATGATATTTAACTTCTGGAGAAACCTGGGCTATTCCCAGCATAAATTAAGGGAGGAAATGGAACACGGTGGTAAACTGCAGGAGGAATAAAAGCAGTATCGCCTCAGGAGGACCAAGCTGGCGATCTGATAAACCAGGATACAAGTCAACACAGTATTGTGAGCTTCCAGGAGAGAACATGCTCGGCCATGCCACGAGGAGAAGAAAGGATGAAGGTTTCATGAGGGTGTGTTGAGGAACATGTGAGCTGTTGGATGGCAAGAGAAAAGGTTAGCTGAAGACTAGGCAGGAGTCCACTGCAACAAATTTGTAGACCTGGATATGACCCTTGCTTCTGCATATGGACACTTCGCAGAGGGTTTCAAAACCATTGTGTCATATCCAGATGGGTTTTTTTTAAATTCCCCGCATGGGACATTTCCTTTTTAGAAAAAAGGGAGTTAGGTCCAGATCCTCAAAGGTATTTAGGCTCCTAACTTCCATCAAAATCAATCATCTTTGAGGATCTGGGCCTTAGAGTGAAAATAAGTGACAAGACAAGGAGTCCCATGAGAAGGGACTGAGGGAAACAATAGCTTCTGCAACAAGCCCAGCCCCACAGTCTACAGGCAGTGTAAATAGAGGGGAAGAGCAATCTGGACTCTTTGGTTCTTTGGTTTGGTGCTGCTCTGCCACTAATTCACTGTGTTACTTTAACAAGTCATCACACTTGTGGGCACAGATGGTAGTTAGGTGCCATCCTCTCCCCGAAAGTCGCTACGCTTAAGGCTAGGCCTTTGAATATCTCCCCTTAAATCAGGCTCTAGTATTTTTCCCCCTTCACTTGAATTCCCAGCTTTGCCTGTTGCTAATGTCTCTGTCTGATTTAAGGCCTCTTTGGAGTGCGAAGCAGGAGGAATTCCTTTCTCAAGTCAAGTCCTAGCAGGTGTACAAAACTGCTCCAGTGCAGAGGATTGTATGGTCAGCGCTTTGATGGAGGATGCTCCAGAAATGTCAAATATGATGGAATCTGTGCATCCCCCACATGCCTGCATGAAGAATGTTATTAATCGATTATTATATCTTATAATTATTCTGGACTGGGGGAGCCTGGATCCCAGCGTCCCTAGTGATTGAGCCTGTCCTTAAGGACTTCTGTTCAAACAATAAAACGACCACGGGGGGCTAGCCTATGGAGGCCCTCCCCTACCTGGACCTGGGGACTTAGGCATTGTGACTCCCTGGAACAGCCTTTGTCCCACACACCTGGAGCTAGATTTTTAAAGGTATTTGAGGTGCCTAAAAGTGCAGCTAGGTGCCCAGTGGCATTTAAAGTCCATGTTAGGCACTGCAGGTGCTTTTGAAAATTACACCACATGCTGATCAGCACCTTTAGGTGCCTACATGCCTTTGCAAAGCTGGCCTTTCACTGCCCCTTAATGGCGGATAAAGAACCAGTACTTAAGGACCATATTATTATCCTTAAATAACCAGTATTCCTTAATTAACCTCTTCACTATTGTCCTTTAGTTATGGTGGTATTGCTTCAGCCTCTAATTACGATTAACCGCTGGTTATTCACTATTATCTCTGAATTGTGAATTAATCCTCACCTCGTGGCTGCTGGGGGGATTGTTAAACTTCTAATCATGCGGATGATTGTTCTGCAGCCCTTAATTATTAAACGCGATTATTAGTTATTCGACACCATGGTTTGAGTATTGGCCTGCTAAACGCAGGGTTGTGAGTTCAGTCCTTGAGGGGGCCATTTAGGGATCTGGGGCAGAAATTGGGGATTGGTCCTGCTTTGAGCAGGGGGTTGGACTAGATGACCTCCTGAGGTCCCTTCCAAGCCAGATATTCTATGATCTATGACCCCCAAACCCCCATGAGTGATGACCCCTCAATGGTCCTATTTTTATGAAATACCCCTCGAGAAACACGCCCCCCCCCCGCCAGCTGCAGCGAGTGGGGCTCAGCACAGAGGCGGCTCCCTCCGGCTGCGGGCCAGGCGAGCCCCAGCGGCCGCGCACCAATGGGGCGGCGGGGAGCGAGCCGAGCCCTCGGCGGGGCGGGGCGGCGGCTCCGGCTGGAGCTTCCCCGCGTCATGTGAGCGAGCGGAGCTGGCGGTGCCCGCATGGAAGGGGGCAGCGGGCTGGTAAGAGGCGCGCAGCCGGGAAGGGGGCGTCGCTGCGGGGGCAGAGAAGGAGCGTTGGGGGGGGGCGGTTCTGAGCTGCCAGGGGGTTCCCGGGGCAGGGCGGATGCCCGGTTTGGGAGGGGAAGGGGGTTGCGGATGTTTTCACTTCTTCCAGCGCGGTGGTTTAAAGAAGAATATTTAGCTCCCTTAAATTCCCTGTCGTTCCCCCCCGCCGGAGAAGTGGGCGGGCTCCAGTGATTCTCGGCTACTTGTCTGTGGTCTTCTCTCCCCCCCCCCCCAATGCAGCCAGGGACCCGGGAGGCAGGGCCCCCCCCCCCAATGCAGCCAGGGACCCGGGAGGCAGGCCCCCCCCCCCCAATGCAGCCAGGGACCCGGGAGGCAGGCCCCCCCCCCAATGCAGCCAGGGACCCGGGAGGCAGGCCCCCCCCCCCCCAATGCAGCCAGGGACCCGGGTGGCAGGCCCCCCCCCCAATGCAGCCAGGGACCCGGGAGGCAGGCCCCCCCCCCCAATGCAGCCAGGGACCCGGGAGGCAGGCCCCCCCCCCCCAATGCAGCCAGGGACCCGGGAGGCAGGCCCCCCCCCCAATGCAGCCAGGGACCCGGGAGGCAGGCCCCCCCCCCCCAATGCAGCCAGGGACCCGGGAGGCAGGCCCCCCCCCCCCAATGCAGCCAGGGACCCGGGAGGCAGGCCCCCCCCCCCCAATGCAGCCAGGGACCCGGGAGGCAGGCCCCCCCCCCCAATGCAGCCAGGGACCCGGGAGGCAGGCCCCCCCCCCCCAATGCAGCCAGGGACCCGGGAGGCGGGCCCCCCCCCCAATGCAGCCAGGGACCCGGGAGGCAGGCCCCCCCCCCCAATGCAGCCAGGGACCCGGGAGGCAGGCCCCCCCCCCCAATGCAGCCAGGGACCCGGGAGGCAGGCCCCCCCCCCAATGCAGCCAGGGACCCGGGAGGCAGGCCCCCCCCCCCCAATGCAGCCAGGGACCCGGGAGGCGGGCCCCCCCCCCCCAATGCAGCCAGGGACCCGGAGGCGGGCCCCCCCCCCAATGCAGCCAGGGACCCGGGAGGCGGCCCCCCCCCCCCAATGCAGCCAGGGACCCGGGAGGCAGGGCCCCCCCATTAGACCCTGGGGAAAAGCCCCCGCCTCCGCTGGGAGCGGAGGGTGGAGAAACGGAGCCGCCACGTGTGTGACTCTCTGCCCCGCGGGGGCTGTTCCCGCACGCCCTGTGCTCGGGGGGGGGAGAGAATGGGAGCCGGGCGGGGGATGCCGGCAGGCCGGCCGCGTTCACACGGGGCTGGCTGGCTGGGGAGAGGCTCCGGCAGGGGAATACCCGGGGCTCTGCCGCGGGCAGGCTGATGAAAGCGCTTCTCAGGGCGCGGGGAGGGGAGTTGGGTTTTGTGGGGCCGGTGCAGGCCGAGGGTGCTCGTGCAGAGACCCCCGGGCTGGGCTTTGAAGGCTCCCCGGGATTGACAGGCTGAAGCCCTGGCGTTTCCCAGCCGAATGGCTGCTGTGTGCTTGGCGTCACGTGGGGAGGCATTCCGGAGTGGAACTCAGTCCGGGCGCCCTCGGCTTGCAGGGGGAGGCGCCCTATCGCGGGCGCCCAGACCAGCCGGTTGACAGAAGATCTGGCCATTCAGGCGTGCCCGGAGGGAGGGACCGCCCCTTGCCATGAATGATGGTGGCTAGAGGAAGCAGGGAAGTTGCATGGTAAGCTGGGAAGTGGCATTAAGGCCATTTGGTGTTGCAGCGTGTTCTTGCGGCTTGTGCATGCTTCCTTTGCGGCCCCTGTCCTTGTGAGCTGCGGGCAGCATATGGAGCCGGCCACTAAGTCATGTGAAAAGGAAAGGCGGACTTGTGGCACCTTAGAGACGAACACATTTATTTGAGCATGAGCTTTCGTGAGCTACAGCTCACTTCATCGGTTGCATTTAATAAGTCATGTGAGACTCCAGCTCATGGCAATCACCAGAGATCCATGTGGCACCCAGCCTGTGCTTTACTGCTAGTAATACCCCACCTCTCATCCAACGGTCTGGAAGCACTTTACAAAGCACTCCTCAGCCTTGTAACTCCTTGTGAGGTAGGGCAGTTTTATTAGCCCCCTTTCGCAGAGAGGCAGACTGAGGCAGAGAGAGAAGTGATTTGTCAGAAGTCACTGAGGTGCAGAGAGTAAAGTGGCTTGCAAGATCGCACAGGATGTGCGTGGCTGAGCTAGGGATAGAATCCAGATCTGAGTCGCAGTCCCATATTTCAGTCGTCTTTTTCCTTCGCCTCAAGTAAGTCTAATCCGTTTTGTGGACCCATTCTACCTGGGATTCAGTTGGGAGCAGTTATCTCCTTGTTCTCATTTTTGTAGAGCCGCTTTTGCATGCTAATGCCTGTGCATGCTCACTAGCCCTTGACTATTATATCTGTGGGCATTTCTGTATCTGCTGTTTCCATGGTATCTGGTCACGGATGATGATGCTGCAAATGCCTTAGTATCATAATTATTTATCATTTTATTTTGCAGTAGCTCAGAGGTCCCAGTGCTCTGGACCCTGTTCAAACCTAGTAAATTACAGTCCTTGCCCCCAAAGAGTTGATACAGTCATTTGCCATTTTGATATTTTAAAAACAAGGAGCAGGAATGCGCTGTACTGATTAGCGCAGGAGGTTGGAAGTGAGGACTTCTGGGTTCTGTTCCCAGCTCTTGCCTGTTGTGTGACCTTCGGCAAATCACTTTACCTCTTTGTGCCTTGGCTGCCTATCTGTGAATTCAGCATATTTACCTACTTCCCAGGGTCGCTGGGAGACTTAAAATGCTTTTAGATCCTCCCATAACAAAAGGTGCTGTAGAGAGACAAGGTGGGGGAGGGAATATCTTTGATTGGACTACTTCTGTTGGTGAGAGAGACGAGCTTTCAGCTACACAGAGCTCTTCCTGAAGAGCTTGTCTCTCTCCCCAGCAGAAGTTGGTTCAATGAAAGATATGACCTCACCCGTGTTTTCTCTCTAATATCCTGGGACCGACATGGCTACAACAACACTGCAAACAAAAGGTGCTGTAGAAACACAAACTAATGTCTAAAGAGCTAACCTAGTCCAGCGATACGCTTCCGTGAAAGCTGGCTTAGGTTTTTTTACACATGACGTGTCTGTTAACTCTTGAATGTTGTCGTCCATGTAGATTGATACTGTGAATTTTAGTTAAACCTGCAAAATCTAAAAAATGCTTCCAGTAGGCAAGATGCTGTCATTGACCCCTGGCAAATCTGGAGCGTGTCTGTCTTAAGTACTTACTTGGCCCCATTGATCTGAGCATCTTATGACTTTCTTAATGTTTTCCTCACAACATCCCTGTGAAGTAGGGCCCTGCTAAGGGGAAGTGAGATACAGAGAGACGAAATGACTTGTCCAAGATCTCACAGAGAGTCTGGCAGATCAGGGAATTGAACTCGGGCCTTCTGAGTCCCAGACTAGTGTTCTAATGGCTGGTTCTAATAGTCACAGGGTCCCTCCTGTGACTATGCTTCTTAGCTGTCTTTCTCAGTAGTGGAGAGCTCAAGAACAAGAGTCAGCTCACCCAGACTGTGCAAACTGGTCCCTGCCATCTCCCCAAGGAGAGCAGTGCTGGCAGGTTTCAGGGAAGAACTGCCTTTTGAGGGGAGAGTGGAAGGAGGTTAAGGAAGGTGCATGGTGTGTGGAGAGGGGGAGGCTGTTGTAAATGTAGCCAGCAGCCTGAAAGGAGTAGATCTGAGGAGGGATGGAGAGGCAAATATCTGGATTGAGACGAGGGGGAGGGAACGGGGTTTGGGGGGAGGATGAAAGGGGAGCAGAGCTATAGGCAGAGTTGGGGCTGTGTAGAGCCTTTAAGTTCAAACTCCTCATCTTCACCTACATGTGGGAGGAAAGTTGGAAGCCCAGTGTAGGGATCTGAAGATGGGGTGAGACAGATATGGCCCAATGCCACCTCTTGCCTCACATGCACCTTCTGGCTTCTGTTCATTGTGAATTGTCCAGGCAGGAGATGCAAAGTCATGCCAAGGACAGAACCGTGTTGCGAAAGGCCTTGAGCAATTTTAGGGTCTTTGTCCTACATTTTGCCCTTGGCAGATCATGAACTAAGTCAGGTGCTTTTTTTATTTTTAAGGCAGGGCTTGCTGAAACTGGAAAGCTCCTCAGAATCTGCCCTTCCTGACCGTAAGGAACCTGGGGAGATGGCACTAGCAAGGACTGGCCCAACTGGTTTGGACAGCTCTGAAGGAATCCCATGCATTTGCTTACTCATGGGGGAAACTAAGAGCTCACAAATGGCTCTAGCATGGGCTTCCTTTCTCTCTTAAACTCTCTCCTTGCTCCTTTTTAATTATCGTAGATTTTATCTCCTGAATCACCTCCCCTCCTAGTCAGGCCTAAGCAAACCACTTCCCATCCCATGTGCTATTGCATACCATCTGCCTGGCAACTGCAGTGATTGTTGAAACAGAAGAGCGATATCAGGAAAGTGTTTCATGCATGTGAAGGTGACTGCTAATGCAAATTATGGAAACAAGGAAAAAAGCCTACATCAGGTGACAGTCTGGTTCTCTGCAGACCACTTAGGTAGAAATAACTGGGACGTGTGTTTGAGCAACAGAGCAATTTAAAAACAAAACCAAACCCAACAGTGACTTGTGTGTAATCAAATTGTTCCTAGGTGTTTGCACTCGTAAATAATCTCCTTGGTGTCACTCCTTTGCAGGTGGGCTAACGCTGTCCCCGCAATATCAGGACTACCAGCTGTACTGCTGCCCAGCTGAATTGTTACACTGGCTTCCTACCCAGTCAGTTTAACATCTTTCCGTGCAGAAGGGACGCTAGTCAACAAATGGTCTCTCTCAGTTGCAGCGAGTTGCTCCCTGCTTCAGACCCCCTGGCCCTCCCAGCTGGCGCCTCTTGGCTAGACAGCAACGCCGATGCTGGTAAGACAAAGATGCCGTCTGCTGTTCTGCCGGGAGACTGCGATGCAGGAGCATCCGACCCTCCGGATGGCTCCAGCCTTCTCCTTTGCCATGGCAGCTACCCTTCGCAAGACGCCCGCCTCCTGGTGTCCAAGGTAAAGAAAGAAGGCGAGAAATCCCAAGCCACCCTCTATGAGGCTCATCTGAAACTGCCCGACTTCTGCACCGACCTCTCTAGAGATTTCACCCCCACCCTTGAGGAGATTGAGGAGTTCCTGAAGGAGAAGATGGAGCTCCTCAAGGATGAGTTGAGCGAGAAACAGCCCGTCAGAGGGAAGCTGGAGATCAAGTCGGAGATCAACCTGGGGAGCCCTGGGGAGCAGCCTACGCCCAGGGTGGCTCTGGAAGGGGGTGCGTTGAGCTCTGCCAAGGCCGCGGAGGCAGCCGGTGCTGCGGGCCTGACAGTGGGTGTTGGGAGCATCCCTATTATCCTACAGATCCAGCCCATCCAAGTGAACAGTGGGAGCCCCCCACCGCAGAGCGCTGTGGACGGCATCAGGGTGGCCCAGTTGCTGGTCAGCGTGCAAGGACAAAGCCTGACCTTTGTCCCTCAGGCTGCCCAGCCCCCCGTGACTGTCTTGGACCAAAAGTACGTCAAAATAGCCCCCCTGCCCCTCGCTCTGAGGCCAGTGGCGCTAGGGAATGTGAGGGGGGTTGAGGCTGGCCCCAAGTTCCAGAAGGTCTCCCCTTCTGTCATCCGGGTCCACAAGTGCACACACCCTGGGTGCAGCAAGATGTACACCAAGAGCTCCCACCTCAAAGCACACTTCCGGCGCCACACTGGAGAGAAGCCCTACACCTGCACCTGGCCCAACTGCGGCTGGAGGTGGGTGTGTAAGCGCGGCAGCCTGGCGCTAAGGTTGCCTTTCCACTGGCTGCCAGGCAGCCAAGCCATTGACTGCCTCCTGCAGGATCTGGCCTGTGCATGCGTTTATAAGGACTAGCGCCAGTCTGGTAGGGCCTGCTTTTCTCAAGTGCTCGGAACCCACAGTTGGGATTAGGTTTTCAGAAGAGCTCAGCATCCAGCATGCTTAGGGCTGTGGGTGCTGAGCTCTTGGAAATCTGTCCCGTCTGGCCCTGGCAGATCATGACCTCTTTTTGAAAATCACACAATTCTGCTTACCCTCTTGCAGCTTCCTGTGCATTTGCAAGATGATTGACTCAGCAGTTGTCTTGTCCCTTTAAATAGCTGGCATTGTCTGCTCTTCAAAGGTATGCAACATCCTCTGCTAGCTCTAACGCTCTTGAGAGAGCTGATTCTAAAACCTCACCGTCTCTTCACTCTAGCAGTGTTTTCTGGCACTGGGTCCTGGACTCGCAAATCCAAGACTTCCAAGTGTAAATCGTCAGGCCGTGGCTTCCCCAAGCTGTTCATATGCTGACTGGTTTAACTGAGATCGTAACTTTTAAAGCAGCAGGAGAGTTTTAACTAGAAGTAAGTTGCCCTTGTGTGATTCAGTTTTTACAGTAAATTCTAGAAAGCAGAGCTTTGAGGAAGGCTGGGATAGAAAGACCTGTCAGGACATTTAGGTTAAACTTTCAAAAACACCTAAGTCCCATTGAAAGTGATTTAAATGGTTTGGCTCCTAAATCACTCAGGTGTGTTTGAAAATGTTACTCCTAGTCTATTCCCTGGCCAGTGCAGGGTTGTTTCCAGAACTTGCTTCCTATAATTTGTCCACTTATAAATGTCTCATCTATTGGATTGCCCATTGCTTCCCTTAGGAACTTGTCAATCAAATCACACACGGTTTTAAAAAAACAAAAACAAAAAACCTCCTGATTAATTTGCTGCTCATGGCTAGGCTAGAAAATAAGCCAGTGTTTCTCACTCCACATTCTTTTAGTATGTTTCAGCCATATGGAAAAACCCTTTTGTCTAACGCTTCTACCATATGTGTGAGCTTCTCAGAGCTAGAACAGGGAGTGGATCCGCTCCTTGTGGGCGTTCTCCAGTTATAGTTGTAAACATGAAGCATCACAGTGATATCGCATCAGTTCTGAGGCTTTGTAATGCAGATGCTGCCAAACCTAAGCTTGTGCAAGTCCAGTTCTGCAGCAAACCTTAGTGCTGATGGTGCCTGAGGATTTGGATTTCTGTGTGCCCAGTTTAGGGTGGAAGAAAGAGGGTGCTGGAGAAATTGGGTGGGGATTTGAATGCACTTAAAGAGCTTTCTTGAGAGGTTAAGCTGATCTATTTCATCTGTGGAATTAAGGAGCTAAGTAGATGGATCTATCCAGGTACCATAGTGGAAGAGGGCCATGTGAGTATCTGGATTTTTCAGTAACATGCTGCAGGATGGAAACTTTGAGCCTAGAACTGTGAAATTGGTGTACGTAGCCTTCACACCTGGAGTTCACTGTTTAAACTGGTCCAAGGAGCAGATGTTTGTCCCCGGATTGGAATGTAGCGCACAGGCTGATAGTGATGGGAAGTTGCTGGCTGTTGATCGTTTGAGAAATGAACTCATGTCACAGTTTAGCGGGGGAGCCAGTGTCCCCCATCAGACGAACCAACGCTGCTCTTTATTGGGAAGCCAGGGATTGAGTGGTAATGCAGAGTGAGCTCCTGGAAGTGGTCCCACTAATTCAGGGCTGGGACTCGCTGCTGGGAAAGAGTGCTCTGAGCCTGTGCCATGGGTGAGGAGAAGAACCTTTATGAAAGAGACTGGCCTGACAGCCCCAGAGTCCTTCGTTTACAGAGCAAGTGTCCCCATAGCACTGAGCCTCGACCCTGCCCTGAGCGACTGCCTCCAAGCCTGAGGGCAGCTCATTGTCCCTGGCTCCATTCAACCTCACAGCCAAGACTTCCAGCAAGGGGGTAACTGGGGCCAGTTGTAGGGGAGGCTTGATGGTGTGGCCACAGGGAACTGTAGTGAGACTGCTAAAATCAGCCTGGCCGCTGAACTGCTGCCAGAGGGTAAGGACTGGCTTTCGGTCACTGCTGCCCTGGGCTGGCTCTGAAGTGGTGACCTAGAGGTGCAAAGCAGTGTACCCCATTCCCAGTCCCTGGGTCCATCCAGTCCCCAGGGGTTTCCAGGCTCTTTGAGGGGAGAGCGGGTTCAGCTCCACACTCCCATGCCCCAGGGGGTGTGTCACTGTAACAAAGCACTGAGGGACAGAAGTGTGTGGTGGGGGAGGAGGGGGGGCGGCTTCCTGGAGCAGGGAGAAATCAGCCTGGCTGTATTAGATGGTAGGCAGCATTTTCCTGAGCTGACGGGCAGGTGCCGCCATATCTGTTCTTCAGCTTTCCCCGCCTTCCAAGGCTCCTGGCTGGGAACAGTCTGACCGAGGGAAGCATCCTAGTCCCCTGCCATGGGGACGGCTGAGTGTGGGCATTTCTTCAGAAACACTTGGTGTTGAGTCTGGGGTTATTTCTAATTAGCCCAGTCTGGGAGGAGAGCAGACACAGGTCAGCCCATCCTAACTGGGATGAAATTCTTGCTGTTGCTGTGGCCTTGTTCCCAGCCACAAAATTGAGACAACTGTCCAAATTCATCTCTGGTGCCAATCCACCCACATCAGTGGTTGAAATTACACCAGGGATCACTTGGCCCAGTATGTGTTTATAGCAAAAGGGGGAAATGCCAGGTATGTGCTGTGGTTGTGAAAGGAGGAACTGGGAAACCTGTAGTAAGTACATGGACTTCAGGCAAGCTGCACTCACCCCTGTGCCTTTATGGGGGTTGTATTTCACAAGGGAGCTGCAGTTTCATTCATGTCTGCAGAGCTCGTAGGTGGAAAGCGCTGAGCAAATGCCAAGTATTACTTTGGCCAAGAAGATGTTTTCATTCGACCCCTTTGGTGTGTGCTACTTCTGTCTCTCCAGGTGCTTACCTGATCCTCATCACTGTAGTATTCAAGCATCTCTCACTCACCAGTTCCCTCACAGGGGTGTGTAATCCACATTTTATAGATGGGATGCTGAGGGCTGGTCTGCGCTACAAAGTTAGGTTGGCTTAACTATATCGCTCAGGGCTGTGAAAAATTGCATGCCCTGTGTGATGGATTTAAGCTGACCTAAGTCCCAGTGTAGGCACCACTAGGTCAGTGGAAGAGTTCTTCCGTCAATGCAGTTGATGCCTTATGGAGAGGTAGATTTACTGTAGCAACAGAAGAACCCCCTCGCTGTAATAAGTGTCTACACTACAGCTGTGCCACTGCAGGGTTTCTGGTGTAGGCATACCATTAGAGACTAAGGGACTTGCCCAAGGTCACACAGAGAGTCTGTGGCAGAGATGGGACTTGACCCCAGGTGTCCTGAGTCTCAGTTCTACCCCCTAGGCCTTCCTTCTTACCCCTTCCTAATTCCCACAGTCCTCTTCTGCTCTGTTCCGGTTTGGCCCTGGTAGCCTCAGGGAATGGCAATCCTCTCCTAGGTTAGCTAGTAGTAAATGTGCAGCCAAAGGAACCCAACATGCTTCCCTTCTCCCGGCAGGTTTTCCCGGTCGGATGAGCTCTCTCGCCACAAGCGCTCCCACTCCGGCGTCAAGCCCTACCAGTGTCTGACCTGTGAAAAGAAGTTTGCCCGCAGTGACCACTTATCCAAACACATGAAGATCCACAGGGGCCAGCGCAGCCGGACAGCTCAAGGCAGCGGCAGCCGTTAACCCTTTCCTCCCTGCCTTGTGGAACTGGGGTGCAATCCAGCAGAGCTGGATAGTGAACACACAGGGGTGGTTTTTTTGTTCAGAGGGGAAAAATTTTTTTTGTACCAACTGGAGAAAATCCCAAGTCTACCTCTACTCATGGGTGCCTTATGGTCAGGACTTGTCTCTTCTACTACTGTGCCACTTGTAAATTCACATGATGGGCACCTGAGCTAATTAGGGCCATGTGTGGGAGGATGGCCTCACCAAAGGGCTTCGGTGAGTGAATGGGTGTTGTCTGTTTAGGTAATTCGAATGCTTCTGTCACTGTACTATCTACCTGATATGAGTGGGAGCTAACTGGTTAATAGCACTTCTTTCTTAGTCAGTATCCTGACTTGCAGCCCCCATAGCAGGGAGGATATACATGCAGCAAGTCAGACCAGTGTCCCAGCCGTCCATGGGCAGCCATCTTGGGGGGGAAAGCCAAAAGGGATCTTGCCTGAGCCAATGAAGACCTGTGCTTGGAGTCTTGGCTGGAGAGATGCTTACAGATTGTACAGTGGGTATGGAAACGGACTGCCTCTTGATGTGTCCCTGTCTCTGATCTCTTACCCCCCGCCCCCCATCCTCCCAGTGTGTGCTGCTCATCACTGATGTCTGCAGGATTGACAAGGCTGATGTCCTTCTCTGTTAAATATTCTTTGTTAATCATGTACAGAGCCAGGGTAAACTCCCAAGATGTCCCTGAGAAGGTGATGCTGATGCACTTACTGTGTCTTCAGTCATATGTGGCAAAAGCTTAGCTGGGTCCTTGCGCATGTCCTTGCTTTGTCTGGTTCCACTAACAAAAAAGCAAGGAGCCTGCTAGCTGCTTGTGGAGTCCTAAAGTGCAACCTACCCCCCACCATGTTCTGCTGAGGTGGAGCCGGAGCGTGGCCTGCTGGCTCCTGAAGTCTGCAGGCTGCCCCTCCGTGTCAAAGATCAGGGTGTCTGCATTCTGTTCCTGTGTGTACAAATCCCATGCAGCTCTCAGGCTTCTTGCAGGTTGCTAGTGTGGCCCACAGGCCCAGCATTGGTGACACCTTGCTCCAACAGCTGCCTCTGCGGGCATTGCACCCAGCCCTGAGGCTGGAAAGGGCAGGGAACAGCTGTAGGTACAGGGACTCTTAAACAGTGGGCAGGTCTTCACAGCATCTTACCAAAGGGTTTGTCTGTCATTGCTGTTGGCATCTGTGTTCCCAGCTTTATAGTTACAACTCTGCTGTCAAAAAACCCCACAATTACCTTTGTAATAATCTGTTCAATAGTCCTTTTTTGTATTAAAGTGCCTGTAACATACTTCTAACAGCAGCCCGACTAGCCTGTTAATGGGATAGTAGAATAGTGTGTCCGGTCATCCCGTAGTGACTGAAGCTGTCGGCCTCTCTGGTCCTCCAGGGGCACATTGTGCAAGGCACTGTCCAAACAGAACAGAGGCAGTCCTTGTCCCAAACAGTTTACAATGCAAGTAATTATGTAAGTAGGGAATTGTTTCCTCTAAGCGGAAAGTATTCCTCAAGTGTGACGACTCGAAGGAGCACTACTGCTTCCCCAAAGAAGAAATACTGCTAAAAATGAGGGTTGGGGGTTGGTTCTTTATCTAAAAAGCATGCCAGCAGCTGAACAAAGGCCTTTGGCAAATTTCCAGAAATGGTGGAGCGGGAAATTGACTTGTATGTTACCCAGCTGCAAGAGCTACAGCTTGAACTAACCAAGGCTAATTGATCTTGGGTTGGCTTTCCAGAGAGCTGAAATGTGTAAGAAACAGAGTCTGCAACACCTGCATTGCCCGGTTTCCTAATCTGTAGGGGGAGGGGGTTATGACAGAAATGGGTGGAGCTGCAGTATTGGAATCCAGAGCCGACCTTTCCCCAAAGCTCCAGGAGGTCTGGCTCTGAAGATCTTGTTCAGGCTCACCCCTAGTTTATAACTGGATGGGGGGGAGGAGGGGGAAATAATTGAGGAGTAAACTCTGCTTCAGCTGGGTCCCTCTCCAGTGTGCCTAAATGGGAATATTTAAAGCTGCAGCCTGATGCAGGTTCTAACGAGGTGCTTGGCTAGAATTCTGTGCTTTGTAGTAGCCTTGGGGAAGCCAGTGTGCTTCTCTGTGTAACTTTCCCAGTGCTCCTCCACCCTGCCCTGGATTGATGTGACCAGAAGCCAAAAAGAACTCCCCAAGTTCAATGCATGCAGTAATGAAGTTTTAATTCTGAGCCAGAGACAGGTATGTGAGAATCTATTTTTGTTTTGTTTCGTTGGGGTTTTTGGTCTAGCTGGTTATTCAATTCATACCCTCTTTCCTTCAGGGCACCTTTTTCAGGCCCCCTGCCAGCATGATTCATGCCAGTCTTGCTCTTCTTTCAGTCCCTTTCGCTGTTCTAACCTGGCCCCAAACCATTTTACAGCACAGTCTGTTCCTTTTGAATCTGCCCCACCTGCTTTCCCCTCTTGGCCTTCAGAATACAAAGGCCAACTGTAGTTTGTGAATCCAGTGCTTTGGGACTGTGGGCAAAGAGGGGCTAGTTAGCAGTATCTGGGCCACGGTTCAGTTCTCCGATCTTTTATTTGCTAAGTGGAATTTGTATGTTCCACTCTTGTCCCCAGCATGGAGTCCCCGGGGGTGGCCATTGGGCTGGGTGTGGAATGGGGAGAGCAGGGCAATAGAGACTTTCAGTATGGCTGACCTGCCATGTGGCTCCTACCAAAGAGAACTTGACTAGGGTGGGGAGGGCGTGCATTTCCTTTCATCAAATGCCTTGGGCACAAATTTGTTGTGAAATATTTGTCTTACCTGTCTCCTTAGGGGGTGCTTTTAATAAATGGCTTGGAAGGTTTGCTGGCACTTCTGTAATTACCTCTTTTCTCTGCTACTGTCAGGTGTTAACCTTCATACTGTAATGCTCCTCAGTGAACAAAGGATATCCCTGTACAGTGACGGGGGATGAGGAGTGGGACTCTTCTGTCTTTCCTTTTGTTGAAGTACACTAGTGTCACCAACTGATACCTTTGATTTCTTTTTATCCCAGTATAAGCATGGCTCTGGGAGTTGGGATTCATGGTTTCCAATCCTGGCTCTGATGTTGAGACTCTGCTGTTAGGCAAGTCAGGGAAATCTGTGCCTCAGTTTCCCCATTTGTACTGTGGAAATAGTACTAGTTGTACAGTGCTTGGGAGACGAGGGCTTTGAGAGTGCTAAACATTTTTCTAGGCAAAGAAGTAGCTGTGGGAGCCACAAGGGTACTAATAATGAAAGCAGGGATGATCGCATTTGTGTGCATGTGTAGAACTTTATAAAATGCTTTTCACGCTGTGCCTTTGGTTGCGGGCACAGCAAAACTTGTGTGCAAAGCCCTAGCGCTCTGCACGCAACTGATGCTGCTGCGGAAGTCCCTGGCCTATGGTTCGCACAGCACTTGCTGGTGGAAAATGGAGAGTTGATTGGTGCTGGTTGCACCCTCTTTCCATATGAGAGGAACCAAACCCGTGTGGGTGAGAACTGTGAGCCTGGTTTTATGGCACCTTTGGAAAGAGAGACTCCATGTATGTTTGTAGCAGCTGGGTCTGCTTGTGGTTTTGCCCCAGGAAATTGATAAAGCTGGGCGTTAATGGGGATTCTTCTTCGATGGTGCCTTTCATCCTTGAAGGGATTGGCACATATTAAGCCTCACAAGACCCCATCAGTGGGTAAGTAGAATGCCTGTTATAGAGGGGTAAATTGAGGTCCCTCAGAGGTTGTGGAAGGAGGCAGTGGAAGAGCTTGGAATGGATCCCCAGAAATCTTGTCTCCACAGCTCTAGCCATGAAAGTTCTCCTGCTGAATAAATGTCTGTTGTGTAATACCAACACCCTCCGTGTAATTCAGGGCACTCCCCACCTACTTTCTCCTCTACCTACAGTTCTGGGCGGGCAATAGGAACCAGCTTGCGGCAGCAAGCAAGCTGGAGTCTGTGCTTTCGAAGGAGAGCAGGGTCACGTGGGGCTGGACAGGGCCTAGCACACTGGGGACCGCTGGGATACAGGCAGTCATTCACAGTAGCTACAGCAGCTGAGTGTTCTTCTGTTTTGCAGCCAGCTGGGCCAGATCCTTTCTCTGCCCTGCCTCCTTGAGAGGCCCATAAGAAACAAAAAGGTCAGACTGGTTAACATGAAACAAGTGGAAGAGAACATTTCCAGCAGTATCTGCAAGACTTTAACCCTCAAGTGGCTCAATACAGTTCCTTGGGCTTCTGAGCCCGGGGAGCGTGTCCACACCGCAATCGGCGTGTCACTGCAGCACATGCTGACGTACTAAAGCTAGTTGGGATCTGTACAAGCTTGCTGGGGGCTCTGGGTACGCCCTTGAGCAGCTGGCTCCTCGGCTGCCTGTGGTGCTGTGGCTTCCCTGCTGCTGTTGGACCTAGCTAGATCAAAGGTCACTTGAGTGTGGCTACTAGTGCTGCAGTCACACCTCTGATCGCAGTGGAGACGTGCTGGGACTTCAATCTCTGTCCCTTCCCCAGTTGTTTGCTTGTGTCACAGGAGCAACAGGCAGTGTGAATCACCCCCCGAATGCAGTCAGGGCTGAGCATTAAACCCTATGCTTCTTCCTAAAGGGTGTATAGTAGCCTCATGCTGCAGCCCACGTGACTTCTCAGCTGATACACCTGCTCCCATCTCACCGCTGTCGTCTCTGAGTGGACAGCTGGCAGGTCTCTGAGCTAAAGGAAGCCCTGGCCTGGAGAGAGGTTAAGGACATGGCAAAGTTTAAAGAAGAACATAGCTAGACTAAAACATCTGGCTTGATGTGACTCAGACTTGCTGCTTGAACTAAACCATTTGCCAAGTAGAATCGTGTCTGTCTTCAATTAAGCTCTGTTAAAGGACAGAGCAATTCTCCATCAACTGGAGATTAGGGAGCATTCTCCCCTGTCCATCACTTGCTCCACTGTGCTTTGCTGTTACAATTCAATAGGACCCCAAGCAAATGTTCACCCAGCTGTGGGTAAGTAATGACCCCTAGTTCACCCAGCTGTGGGTAAGTACCATGCTGTCTGCATGATTGCCCCATGTTCTGAGGGGCTGGTGCTCTCTCTCAATGTACTCAATTTAAATCAAGGTCAGTCTAGGCGAAGCCCTAGGAAGCACTGTAGGGAGTAATGGTGCAATAGCCAGGGCATGGACTAGCTGGGACCTGATATCGGTCTCACCAAGACTTTTAGTAATGACTAGTGATTTTTGGGGGGGGAGGGTGACTCCTTAAAGGAACCTGAATCTCCGAAGGACGTTGGGTGCTCAATACTGAAAACCAGGCCCCTTTTAAAATGTCCCAAAATCGGCCACCCAAAATCACTAGTCATTTTTGAAAACTTTGGCCTTCTCTCTCTCTCTCCCCGCACCCTCGCCGCCACCTGCAGCTTCAGGGCTTCCTGTACCAGAAACCTGACCATACCACAATATCTTCCCCCTTCTATTTCAAGCAGTGGGTTTCGTGCACAAGCAAGGCTCTGAAATTAGACTATTGGTATGAGTCAAGTGGCCGGTGCGAGTACCGATCTTGTCACATTTTCAGCAATGCTGAGTGCGCCAGAGGGCTGCTTGATTTGTCTGGGAGTAGGAGCAATGCTGGAAGTGTGACTAGGTTTTTTTTTGTGTGGCTCTATGACCTTCCTGAGTGACACAGTATATGTTGTAGGGAAAACACTGCTGAGATGGTGAGTGTGGGATGAACACCCTGCTTAGTCTAGAAGGGGTTAACGAGGCTGGGAAGGGGCTAACTAACAGGACAGATCAGAGCTGAGGGGAAACAAGTGGGAAGAGAAGAAATAAGGTGGGGAAGGAAAAGGACATGGGGGATGGAGGGGAGAGACAAAGGTCTGGTCTACACCTTAGGTTGACCTAGCTACATTGATTGGGGTGTAAGAAATTAACAGTAGTATAGATATTCAAGAGTTTCACATCCCAGGTGGTATTCAGGAGTTAGCTAGAGCTGGTGGAAGTGGCATTTTCATCTGGCTCCCTCTTTCTGGGCCAGTCTGGTCAGGATATTTCTCTGGATTAGGATGGAGGAAGTCTGGGGTCCCAGGAGATAGCGAGAGTGGCAGCTATGATGGGGAAACTTTTCTCCCCCAAGTCTTTAAGTACCTAAAGAGAGAGTGATGAGTGGAACAGCCATTTGCCTTCATTATTTTGTCCACCAGTTAGGCTTAGTTTGACACCAATTTTGGCTCACTGATTTTTGGTTCCACACTTTTCTTGTTCACCAAGAACGATCTTAACATAGTCCTTGAGTTATATCAGTAGCCCTCTTGTTTGGACTAGTTCAGTCTG